GATCATTTCATATGTATGTTTTGAGCATGTTGTTCTCTAAGATGTACTCCCACCAATGAGTATCTTATCTCAATCCAACTCATTCTCCCAAAGGTACAAGTGAAGCAAGTTGAAAATATTTCTTCCCATAGCTCTTTCTTGGCCAAATATTCATGCTATTTCTATAGAGGCAAAAAGACAAACACCTTACATGCATCTTATTTATGTCTCTTTATAAAGAACAATATGGATTTTCACCATCTTTCACAACCTACACAAAAATATCTAAATAACATAGCATGGGTCATAAATGGATGTGAACTTTGTATATCAAGCGTTCATTTCAAGTGATATAAGATCAACAAAGGCTTTGTCCACGTCCTATGAAATCATTCATCCTACCATCTGATACCAATGTCTTAGAAGAAACAAGCAATATTGATATATTTTTTTTAACAAGGAGAGGAGAAGAACAGAGAAAGAGAAGGGTGAAGAAGGGTTAGAAGAAGAAGAAGAGAAATAAAAAAAAGAAGAGAAAATGGGGAGGAGGAAGAAATCTGGAAGAAGAGTGAGGTAAAGAAGAAGAAGAAGAAGAAGAAGAAGAAGAAGAAGAAAAAGAAGGAAAGAAGAAATCTGGAAGAAAAGTGAGGTAAAGAAGAAGAAGAAGAAGAAGAAGAAGAAGAAAAAGAAGGAAAGAAGAAATCTGGAAGAAAAGTGGGATAAAGAAAAAAGAAGAAGAAGAAGAAGAAGAAAAATAAGGAAAGAAGAAATCTGGAAGAAAAGTGAGGTAAAGAAGAAGAAGAAGAAGAAGAAAAAGAAGGAAAGAAGAAAAGGGAGCTCACCTTACGAGTAGAGGAACTTCGGCTCTCTGGAGCTCGCAAACACACTGAGAGACTGAGAGTTGGAGCCGAAGAGGGATCTCGGTATGGATCCCTTTTTGGGATTTTTCAAACCACCTAGAGAGAAAGGGGGAGCCTGGGCGTGAGAGAGAGAGAGGGATTTCGGTCTCCTGCCGTGAGACCGACGGCTAGGGTTTTTTTTTTTTTTTTTTTTTTCATTTTTTTTTTTTTTTTGCAAACTAGAGAAACCAGAGAGCCCCAGGGAGCGGCTACTCGCACCAAAGAAAAAGAGCAAACCCGAGAGGCTTGCGGCTAGGGCGAATTATTGGATCAGGTGACCGGACGCGGAGAAAAGTCCGAATATTAAAAAAAATATTTTAAATTAAGCGCAGGTAAAGCGCATGGAAAGTGCACCTAAAGCGCACGTAAAGCGCACATAAAGCACACGGAAAGTGCACTGCGGCAAAAATGAGTCAAAATTGCTCATTCGAGGGCAAAGCGCATGTAAAGCGCACGGAAGCGCACCGCGACAAATATGAGTCAAAATGGCACTTGAACGAAAATCGAGGTCAACACCTGCTCTAGGACCACTTATACGCAAAGGTAGCTAGATTTACAACTTTAGTCTTTTATCCTTACTCAATTTCCCACTAATGCTCTTTTTAACAGTTTAATTGATGATCCAAATTGGGTTCTCCCTCGTACTTTGGACTATAATACGTGAATCTATTTGAGTATATTCTTATATTTGACTCCTCTCCTAGGTGCCATAATTAGGGAAACGATGTCGTTGATTCTTTTTCCTCTTATATCATGGAATTTTATAAAGAAGATCCTTTATGTACCTGGAAAAAATTTGTGTGGCACAAACATCATGCATTGAGGTTTTCTATTTATGCTTAGTTGGCCATTCGTGGGGGTCTTAAAACTCCGGATGCCTTAGAAAAGAGGATCATTCATATCTCTTGCACCTGTGTTCTCTACCACTCCATTCCTTAATGTACCTCACATCTATTTTATGAATGTGATTTTACCTTCTCAATTATCTCTCATCTACTGCCTGTCATTAAGAATTTTTACTCTGATCGAATTTACTTGTTGCATTTTCTCCTGTGGCTCATTTCAGTATCTGATGCTATGATATTCTTCGTGCCTTTTGTTTTTAGTTTGGTGGAATTTTTTACTACCTTGGATTATGATGATATTTCAATAATTTCATACTTTTCCCTTAGACGGTCTACATAGCAACTAGGGGAAATTGCTGCCTTTCTCAATTTATGATAGCATAATCTAACTTATTGTGAGTCTAGGCATTGAGATTTTTCCCATTTTTTATTCTTTTGAATCGGTTTTTCAAATTTCATTTTTTTATTTTTTATTTTTTATTTTGAAATTTTCAAGTTTCATACTATGATTTAAGATCATTTTTTGGGCTCACCATCTCTCCATGTGTGATCCTCTGCCTTTGTTCTAAGCTTAGCTCAAATTTTTATAGCTCCTCTTATAGCTTTTTTTAGCTTTATCCTTTTGTCTTTCATGATTTTTTTTTTACACCCGTAACTTATTACTTCTTTAATGAAATGAGCTCTTCCCCTAATTAAAAAAAAAAAAATGTAAAATCAAATTTCTCAAAATCAACGTGTGCGTAGGTGAGAAACTGCAAAAAAAAATTGCCCGGAAGCCGCGTACGTCAACGTTAAACGGACCAAAACGGAGTATGTTAGCTGCGTTGTAATTACAACGCGTTTTATCTTTACTTGCAGCGGAAGGAATTTTATCGAGCAAATCTGGATACGGAATACGTTGGATTTTGCGGCCATGGCGAATCGAGAAGAAGAAGAAGCGGCGCCTCTCCTTAAGCCCGAAGCCCATAATGCAGATAGCGTCTTCTCAGCTGGTCCCAAACCCAGGGACCCGCCTCCAAACCTTGCGCCGGCTGTCGCTCCGGCGCCCGCAGTTACCGCGGATTGTGGTGAGAAGGTATCTGCCAAATGGGCGGCAGAGGGTGTGCCACTTACGCTGGCTCACGGGAGCGTCATAGGCGAGCCATTGCTGCGCGATCAGTGGGACTCTGGCCTCTTCTCCTGTCTAGGCCGCAACGATGAGTTCTGCAGCAGCGATCTCGAAGTTTGTAAGTTCTATCTCCTACAAGATTTCGATCATCTGTTATACGTTACCTCGAATAAAGGGAGCTGATAAAATTTCTGCTTTGGCTACCAACCAAGAGATTTGAATTCGAAGCTTTCCTATATCATTTGTGCGAATTTACCTTAATTGACTCCACAAAATAATCGTCCTATTAAATTTGACGGAGAATATTATATATATTGTGATCTGTAATTCCAGAACGTTGAACATTTTTTTTGATAAACGAGCCTATGAAGGTTATAGTTAGAAGTAAAGATCCGAAAAGTTTACTAAAACTAAAGATTGTTCGTTCTGATTTCAAATACTTTGTGCAGTATTTACTTCCTGATAGCTTCTTTGTCATTTCATTTCATTTTTTAGAATTTGTGTTGCAATATTAGAATCAAATTGTGATTAGCCGTCAACATTTTCATTAATTTGAGCACAGAAATTTCTCGGGCTTGATCAATCCTTTCAAATATCTGGGAAGTCAGTTTTTTTTTTCTTTAATAACATATGCAGTCACCAATCGCTAAAAAAGACAGAAAGCTCTTTAGAATTCAGGCCAAATGCAGTCTACTGTGCATTATTTGCAGGTTAACGCTAAACATTTCACTTGTTAAAAGAGAAATAAAATCTTAAATTTTGACTTTGGAACACTATTTATTTCCGATTGTAGGTTTCAGTTGTTCCAATGCTTTGACAGAATTGTAGATCCTGCAATATAATGCATGGTACTAGTATATACAAGCACCTAGACATCTTGAGATATTATTTCCAACAAAGGATAATTTTAAAACTCTTTGACCTTACCAAGGCCTCCAGCACTTTTATGTAGTGTTTTTATGTAGAAAGCATGGCATCATGAGATATAGGTTTTGTTTGAGATAACTTTCTTGCTGCTTCATAAAATAGCTTTATAGTACAAAAATTAAATTTTTTGTACTAAAAAACTACTTTAAGAAGCAGTAAGAAAGCTGTCCCAAAGGATGCCTTAATCTCAATTCTTTTAAACTCAACTTTGATTTTTGATAATTTTTATGCTCTCTCAATCAGGATATCTTGAGATAAATTTTCTTTAGGGATTGCCTCGCAACCCTTCAAATTAAATAAGATTGTCTTTCTTTTGTTGAAAGACCTACGATTTTACTAATTAGATGCAAAAATCTAGTGGTTATGCATCAAACATATATCATTGTTCTCAAAAGAATGCGTAAAAAGTGCTTCGATGATATTGTCATCTGATGGTTCCTTTGACTTACTTGAGTACAGTTTCATTGGAAAGGAGATTGTTTAGACTTATACTTGCTAATTTATTGTCTTCTTAGCTTTAGTTTCAGTTCATAGAACCATTAAAGCTGCATTTAGTTGTTTCCCACTTTACCTTGCTTAGGCAGTTCTATCTCTTTTGATCATTCTTAAAGCTGCAATGGTGATTCAATGTATTTTGTTAGATTTATTTTTACCGTGAACTTTCTTGTAATTCAAATGCTAATAATCTAAATTTAAGAATAGTATTGAGTAATCATTCCTTGAATTTATAATAAGTAATTTTGCAATATTATATTCAGCGTGTGTAGGTATGTTCAAAATGCAGTGATACTTAATCTTGTTTAGAAGTAAGAGGCCAATGTCCAACACTGTTAGTGGTGGATCAAGGAGATAAGTTTTAGTGATCTAGGCTTTTATATGGTGGGATTTTGCTACTCAATTTAATTTTCAAAATGATTAGGAAAATGTTCCACGATACTACATTAGAATCAAAGTTGTTTTCATTAACTTGAAATGCTTGAATGTGTCATTAATTCTTGTGAATCCTGATCTTAGTTGTGATGTTTGTAATTCAAGGTATTTGAAAAGTTAGGTTTGTCTCAAAAAGACTTTTTGTATTTGAAACGTGACATCTTTTTAGAGTCGAAACATGAAAATCTACATCACAAATATTATTAACTCATTTTATAGAAAATATAAATTGCTCATCACACCAGATCTGTAGATCTGTAAGCATCTCATTTTCATCATCCAAATATGCCTTTTTTTATGCTATTCCATAGGAATTCATAGTTCCCCTCCAACAAAGAATGCCCTATACAATATTCACGCCATGCCCACCCTCCGATTGTTTACCTTAGTTTGGCATGTGGGCTAGACCTGATTGTTTATAATTAAAATAACCTTGTTATATTGCAGAGAAGGAGTTAAGCTTAATATCTAGACTTAGGCTTCGTTTGGGACGGCTTTCTTGCCGCTTCTTAAAGCAGCTTTCTAGTATAAAAATTAAGATTTTTTATTAAAAAATTGTTTTAAAAAGCAATAAAAAAGCTGTCCCAAACGAATCCTTAATCTCGCACAAGAAAAATGATCCCTGAAGTTGTATTTAACACAAATTCATTCTTCATGCTTTTAACTTTTTGCTCCTGAATTCACTCAATTTGTCATTCTCCCGTCAGTTTTGTAGCTTGTCTTATTGATTCTGTGATGAGATCTACATTTTTTGACATTTTTGAGAAATCTATCAGAATTACATTCTTACCACATTATCTCTATTTATAAACACAATGCTTGTTGTAAGACGCAGAAGAGTTGACTGAGATTATCAACACCACAAGCTAGACAACAATTGCTCAAAGGTTTTAACGCTTATTTAAATATATTTATTAACTATTTCATTTATTTTTTTTTGAAATCCTCGTTCATACCTACTGGTGAGGCATTACTATGACTGAATTTCTTATTATCAGTAACTGGACTGACTGAAATGGAAATAATTCAGGTCTTCTTGGAAGTTTTGCTCCATGCGTACTATTCGGCAGTAATGCCGAGAGGCTTGGATCAGCTCCTGGCTCATTCATTCATAACTGCTTCACTTATGCTGGCCTTTATATGCTTGGAAATTGTTTCTTTGGTTGGAATTGTCTAGCGCCATGGCTTTCTTATCCTAGCCGTTCATCTATTCGCCGAAGATTCAATCTTGAAGTAAGTCATAATGATTATTGCATTTGGTAAATGTTCAAAGGGTTATTGCTTGTGGATTGCAATTTATGTACCTTTGACATACAGTTAAGTCATCTATATTTCTTTATTCAAGGAAGCCATATATTTCTTTGTTTTATCAAATCCCTACTTAACTTGCATGATCTTCATTTGTTATCATCTATGAAAGTCATGCATACATTGGCTTTGGTTAGATCAGGAGTGCCAGTTGTACCTGACACCAAACCTTGATTTGGAGCTGAAAAGAAGATTTTGAATTTGAGTTAACCCGTGTAAGATTCAGGTCGTGTTAATAAGAAAATAATGGTTTAACTATTATATATATTTTTTTTTGAAAAACTCACGTTGAATTATAATTTTTTGTTATTTTTGGTTGTATCTAAATCAGATAATCATGTTCATTTTATATTGGTTTGACACTTACCCATCTTGACTTGAGTTTTTTTATGCTTGGTTTGAGTAGGATTTGTTGATTCAAGTTGAGATTTTGAACCGTTTGATAAACTGGTCAAGTTCGATTATTCATATTCATGTTGGATTATTTTCAAGTCAAACATAAACCCATCTTCAAAACACAAATCAGCACGGTACTTGCCCATTGACTTAGGCTTCCTTTGGGATGACTTTCTTAATGCTTCTTAAAACAGCTTTTTAGTACCAAAATTTGAAGTTTCATACACGAAGAAGTTGTTTTAAGAAGCAGTAAGAAAGCCGTCCCTAACGAAGCCATAATGTTGCCCCTTGATCTAGTTGCTTTTGATATATGCAATTACTTGTCCAAAACCCAAAATTTTGCTTGATATCTCACCCTGTTAGCGTGTCTAAAATATGCCACTTACATTCTGTTTTACTTATTGCTACCAAAATGGTTCATCAAAGGCTAATCTAATATAATCTTTCTTATTATCCTATAATTTCTAATCATTTCCTTTGCCATAATGGCTAATGCAAGTGTTATATGATACCAATCATCATACTTTTTCTAAAAAAGTTACTTAGTTTTCCTGAATCATCATTGCCAAGTAGGCAAACACTCAAAGCTCTTAACTCTTCTGTATTTTGTTATAATCAATCTCTTCAGGGAAACTTAGAGACATTTGCAAGATCTGTTGGCTGCCACAGAATTCTGGGAGATGAAGCAAGGCAGGAGCAGCTGGAGTCTCTGTGTGATCTTGCAGCCCATGTATTTTGTCACCCTTGCGCTCTCTGCCAGGAAGGACGGGAACTTCGCCGGAGGTTGCCCCACCCCGGCTTCGCCGCCCGGCCTGCGATGGTTTTGATGCCTCCAGCGGAGCAGATTATGGGACGTGACACTGCCTGATTGCTACTGCGATAGTTCTGATGCGATCTGCAAGGATATATTTACAGTAAATAATATGCGTAATAATTTGTTTGTCATATTATATCACGAATGTTGAGCTGATCTCCTGCCAGGTGTGGAAAGACTTTATGGAGCAACTTTATTGTAATATCTCCGAAAATAAAAAAAAAATTTATGGTATGAATTCAAATGATAAATAAATATTAAAACCAAAATTTATGATCTCTAAAGATTGAAATAATTTTTTTTTTTGATGAACTTAAAAGAGTGAGAATATTTATTGTATTTAAAATTTGATCTTTATTATTAGAGTTTTTCGTTTTTTTTACTTTCTTGCTTGTGGAGTGCGGGGAGATTTTTTCTCTGCTAGGGTTTTGGCGCCTTTGGTTTTGCTCTCCTCCCGCTGTCCCCCCGGGGGCCTTTCTCCCATGGCCAGCTCCTTTTTTCCGCCACTTCCATCCTCCTCTACTCCTAATCCCACTCCTGCTGCTGTCTCTCCGTTAGACTGGAAGAATCTTCTTGCGACGACCCCGCAAGTTTCTACTAAGTTTTCTCACTCTTTAGCCTTCGTCCCCACACAAAACTTCACTGCACAGTTCACCAGTGAGCAGTTTCAAGCTGGTGCCCCAGAGTGGTCGCTCTCTCTGGTTGGGTACTTGGTTGGTAAAAGACCTTTCTATGAAGCACTATTATCCACAATCAAAAAGACCTGGCAACTTAAAGGTGACTTTTCTCTGCTAACAATGGATGAAGGTTTCTTCCTTCTGAAATTCACGGCAGTTGAAGACTATGAGCTTGCCTGGTCTGGAGGCCCGTGGTTTTTCTTTGGGAAGCCTTTCATTCTGCAAAAATGGAGTCCGGACTTTGTACCAAAGCGCGAAGAGTTCCCGTCGATACCTCTCTGGATCAAGATCATGAACTGTCCGCTCTCCTGCTGGACGCCTGAAGGTATCTCTAAACTTGCGAGTTGCGTCGGTATTCCCCTCGCTGTTGACGCTCTTAGGGCTGCTAAAACTCGCCTTACCTTTGCGATAGTCTGTGTGCAAGTTACTAGCTCCTCTCCTCTCCCTGATGAAATTTTCTTTTCTGTCGAATGCAAAGTTTCCCCCCTCCGTATCCAATATGACTGGAAACCTGAGAAATGCTCTCAATGTGGATCCATAATGCACCCACCGACTCTTTGTCCAAAAGATCCCATTCTTCCGCCAACCAACATTCACAGGACTAGAGGCCGAAGCTCCAGCCGTAAGCCTCGGTTCACGCCACCCCCTCGTCTCATCATTCAAAAGCCTCCGCAAACAAACAAAGCCAACGCCACTCCTCCAGAACCACCTATACTCCAAAATCCTCCTCTTGGCAATCTTATCCCAAACCTAAATTCTCCCTCTGGCGAGCCGCCTGATCAACCTCCTTCATCCACCACCCAACGCTCTTCCCCACCACCAAAAGACCCTCCCACAATCAAAACCAAAAACCAGTTTGATGCTCTATCCGACTCAGAGAGCACAGAGCAATTGCCTCCTAATTCTCTTGGCCTGAATTCTAACCCAATCCTCTCTAATCCTAATCACAGCAGCCCTCTTCACACGTCCCCTAGAAACCACCAACCTAACATCCCCAACAACAATGACATTCCCTCCACATCATCCACCTCTACTTCTGATACTACCAAAGCCCAGCATAATACACAGTAGAACCAAAAGCAAACCAGAGGCAAGCCCAAAAAGGCCTCCACCCCAACCCATAAATGTCAATGAACCTTCCAAATATGGCAGCTTGCAACATTCGTGGGTTCAACAGCCCTGACAAAGTTTTATGCTGCAAAAACTTAGCCCAAAAACATAACCTAGACATCCTCTTCATTCTTGAATCTAAGACCTCCCTTTCCTCTCTCTCCAGTCATTGGTTCCAAGCCAATCGCAGAATTTTCCCTTTGGAGAACTCTTGCCACAACTTTCATCTTGCCAATCCGGGTTGCATTTGGATTAAGTGGAATGCCAATTCTGTTAACTTCATTCCAGAAGTCACCACCAACCAACTTATTCATGGGACTATTACAGTGGCCTCTAAAACAGTCTGTGCTATCACCTCGGTTTATGCTAGTAACTCTCACACAGAAAGGCAATTGTTATGGGACAATATTCAGAATATTTCGAGTATTATAGCCACTCCGTGGGCCATCATTGGCGACTTTAACTGCTGTCGTTACCATAATGAGAAGGCTGGGGGTATTCAACTCAACAACACTAAACTTGGAGCATTCAACAAAGTTATTTTTAATTCTGGCCTCCACGATCTCTCCTCTTCTGGCCATTTCTTCACTTGGCATAATCAGTAACCTGGAAATCCCATACATATTAAGTTGGACAGAGTCCTTATTAATGATGCTTGGCTGAACGTATTTCCCAACTCTTACTATCTTGTGGGGGACCCCAACTGCTCCGACCACTCCCCTCTCATTTTAGCTAATAATCTTAATGGGAAGAAAGGGCACGGGTTCTTGTATAAGAACTACTTCTCCTCTAAGCCAGAATTTTGGGATTGTCTGATCCAAGCCTTCTCTCAAGCCAGTAATAGCAACCCTCTTTGCTCCTTCTACAACAAGCTCAAAAGCCTCAAGAATCTCATTAAGCATAAAAATTGGACCAACTCCTCTTCTATCCAGAGAGAAATTGATTCCCTTACTGATCTCCAAAATCAAGTTCTCACTAATCTCCAAGGGAATCCTATAGACCCTACTCTGAACGCTGCTCTTAATAGCATTAATGCTAAACTCTCTTACTATCATAGCACCCTTACCAGCTGGATGTCTCAAAGAGCTAAGGTTAGATGGCTAACCAATGGTGAAGATGACTTAAAATTCCTTTTTTCCAAAATCAACATCACTTCAAACTACAACAGAATCAATGAAATTGATACTGATTTTGGGTATGTTTCTTCCCACAAAGACATATCCACTGCTTTTATCAACCACTTCTCTAAGCTCTTCAATACCCACAACACTCCGTCCCCCAATTTCACCTCCCATAACATTCCTGCTGGTGCCACTATACCACCCCACCTTCTACCTCTTCTCACTGCCCCTGTTACTATGGAGGAAATCAAAGCTATTATATTTTCTGGTAAAGCAAATTCCACTCCAGGTCCTGATGGGTTCCCATTTGACTTTTATAAATCCTCCTGGAACATCATCAAACCCCCTCTCTGTAAGGCTATCCTTTCCTTCTTCTCCACTGGTTTCATGCCCAATCAAGTGAAAGCAACAGCTATTGCTTTAATTCCGAAGCATCCTCATGCTAGCAATATCCAAGATTACCGTCCCATCTCCTTATGTAATGTGGTCTATAAGGTTATTGCCAAGATCATTGCCAATAGGATGAAAGTGGTTTTGCCCATCATTATCCATCCTAGCCAAGGTGGTTTCATTAAAAGCAAAATTATCACTGACAACATTCTTCTCGCAAATGAGCTGTTAAGGAATTTCAACACCAAAGCCAAGAATAAGTACTTTTGTGCCAAATTCTGTAAAACCCGAAATACGTCATTTGAGTGCGTCGCACGCATCTCGATGCGCCGCGACGAACTTAAGTGAAATTTCGACGTCGTCGGAATTCGACGAAATAAATTTCGTTAGATTCGTCTCGAAATTTCGAGCAAAATGGGAGCTAACCGGGCCGGGTCGTGACAAATTCGATATTAGGAAAGCATTTGACACAGTCTTTAGGGACTTTCTTCTGGATAGGCTGCTGGTCAAAGGTTTTCATGATATCTTTATTTCCTGGATTAAAGCCTGTATTTTTTAGGTGCAATTTTCGGTTTGTATCAATGGTGCTCTTGAAGGATACTTTAGCTCCTCTTCTGGGCTAAGGCAAGGCTACTCGTTATCACCTTACATGTTTACTGTTGTTATGGATGGTATTTCTTCTTTACTTGATCAGGCTACTAATCAGCACAAGTTTGCGGGCATCACCTCGGGTGACTGTTCCATCACCCACCTAATGTTTGCTGATGACCTTTTGGTCTTTGGTGAAGCTACCAGTACCAATGCTCATACTCTTATTGACATTCTTGATAATTTTGCTTCTGTTGCTGGTTTACACGTTAATGCCCATAAGAGTAGCATACTTATTTCTAAGGGTGCATTGCAGGCTGAGCAAATTTGTGATATTCTTCATATACAACAATCCTTCAACCCTCTCAAATACCTTGGGCTTCCTATTTTTTACTCCAAGCTGAAAGCTCTGGACTTCCAACCCCTAATCCTTAATATCAGCTCCTCTCTTGAGGGTTGGAAAGCCAAAACTTTATCTTTTGCTGGGCGTATACAGTTCCTAAAATTTACAATTTGTAACACTTTGGCCTATTGGATAAGGGGTTCTATCATACCTAAAGGTTGCTGTAAAACTATTAACCGTCTTTGCTCCAGATTCTTATACTTTGGGGATACTAGCCTGAAAAAACTTTAGACAATCTCTTGGAAGAACACCTGTTTGCCGAAACAATTTGGGGGTATGGGTATTCCCTCCATCGATAGCCTTCAACATAATTTTGCTTGCTCGATTATTTGGAGGTTTTTGAACAGTAATAACCCTCTTTTTGACTGGTGGAGAGCTTGCTATTCGTCTTTATGGAATGTGTGGAATGGTAAAGGTTCAACTTATTGGAATTTTATTTGCACCAAAGCTAATATTGTTAAGCATTGACTTAACCTTTTTGTTCACCAATATAGCAATTTGTCCTTTCTCTGGGACCCCTGGTGTAATGGTAAATCTATTGCAGATTTACTGATTACAAATTATGAGCTGCAGGAATTCTCGTTTATGTCCAACTGGAAGATCTCTAACGTTATATGTGACATGTCGTGGAATCTTCCTAGATGCCTTGATTCTTCTACTATTTATGCTATCTCCTGTATACCCATATATGAGGCTGTGGAAAGTCATCTTTGGTTGGGTTGTCAGAATCCTAAATTTCAAAATTTTCAAGACATCTTATATGGTCAATTGGTTAAGATCCCCTGGCACAAATTTGTTTGGCACAAAAGAGGAACTTTACGGTTTTCTAGTTTTACGTGGATGGCTTTTAAGGGGGGCCTGAAAATTGCGGATGTGTTAGCTCATCCTGGGATCAACACTGTTACCAAATGCTGTTTTTGCTTTGTTGAGAATGAAACTGTGTCCCACCTCTTTTTTGAATGCAATTTTACTTTTAACATCATCAAAGGTATACTCCTGTGGCTGCGTAATCTTCTTATGCGACCCAATCTTTACCAAGCTTTAGAGAGTATGCTGGATCAAAGGCTTAATTCTATTAATATCAGTTATTACTTGCTCTTTGGATGTGCTGCTGTGTATTTTATTTGGAGAGCTCGCAAAGACAGACTTTTTGGTGGCATTTTTTACTGTCAAGCCACGGTTTCTAGGAGAATTGCTCTGGCAGTTCTCAGGAAGACTACAAATTGGAATCACAATCAACGCATTCACTAATGGTTTCTGGATTTTGTTGTTGTTCACTGTGAGCCAATTTTGTAAGGACGATGATGATCGCTGCTTTGCAGCTGCCCTTTGGATGGTCTTATTGGCAACCAAGGGCCTGGCATGGTGCAGTCCCTTCGAGCTTTTGACCCTTCCCGAGTTCACCATTAATGCCACCTGAGTCCTTATACTCATTTTAGCATTTTTTTTCTTTCCAATTGTAACTCCCTTTTTGCTGTTTGTTGTCTTTGGCTTCACTTTTTGTTGTTGTGAATCAAGACCATAGGTTTCCTTTTTTCTTATTTGTAATTTTTCTTCAGCAATGATACGGGCTATGCCCCAAAATTTCCCAAAAAAAAAAAAATAGAGTTTTTCTTTTATCCAATATGATTTGGCTGAATATGATTTATTTTATTTTGAGATATATCTTTTTTTAAGATTTTTTTTTCTTAATTTTGTCCTAGAAGTATAAAGAAAAAAGAAAAAAAAATTCTGTTGATTAAAATAGTGAAAAATATTATTGAAGTTTATTAAAAAAATTTAATCTTGGGGTTTTTTAAGGTATTGAATCAACTTTTAGAAAATATTTTTATGTTAAATTCAAAGAATAAGAGGAGTATTTAGGGGTGTCAAAATTGTTCGATGGGTTGAGGTCCAGTTTGACTTGAAATTGATATGAACGTAATAAGTTAACATGACTCTGACCCATTTAATAAATGGGTCAAGAACATTAACAAGAACTTGATTTACTTGTAATTTATTAATTATAAAATTTAACATATTTTATAAAAGAATAAGAATATTATTCTCACAATTAAATAAAAAAAAGAAAAAAAAAAATTAAACTAATCATTTCAAGTAAAAAAAGGTTCATATATCAATTTTAACCCAACTAAGGTTTCAAATTATTTAGATTTGAAATAGGATTAACCTAAGGTTAGCCTAGACCAAAGGTATAATCTAGATTTAATTTGGTATGCATATCAAGACACCTAGGACTACCTAAGACTACTTAAAAAGTTTTTTAGCATTACCAAAGATCCCTTGGAAATTTAGCCTAACAAACAAGGGATATTCTTGGGTAACATTAGGGTTCCTACGAATTGATTAGTATTTTGGCTTGTTTAAGTTTAAATTTCTAATGAATTGAGTTATATAAAATATTTTGAATTCATTTAAACATCTTATTTCATAAAATACATTAGACTTGTTGATATGAATATGCCATACTCAATATGAAGAATATCATATTTCTACTGCTTGCATGTAAATATTTCTTCAGTGGAATTATAAAAATTACTAAAAATAAGGCCTAAGAATAGTTATTTTTATTTATTAATATACATTTCTATGTATTAAAGTGATTAAAACGCTTTTCAACAACTTTATCGTCAAACGGTACAGGTGAAAATCCTAACTCTGCAGAGAATATACTGTAATAAAATGCTCAAAGCAAAGAAGAAGCGTTATTGTAATTAATAGACTAATAAGATTATCAATTGCAAAGTAATACAGAGGTAATGAAAATTTAACATCAAAATATAGAAATGCTGTAATAAATTAAAGAAGAACTTGTTCAGGTAACATAACTTCAACAAATATAAAATATAAGAACCAAAATCCCACCGCCATCGCCCAAAAAGCATCTATCTGCTCATGGGAAGAGATTATTACGTGCGGTCACCGGATTGTTTGGAGGCCAATCAAGATACGTCACATGACCCGATACATAGCAGTACGAAATAATTGTACACAATGTATTGGTGACATGACGCATTCTAATTGACCTCCGAACAGCGCCCCTCAGGTAATAAATAATTTCGCTGCAAATAGGCGCCAGATAACGATGCCGGATTAGACACTTAACAGACACAGACAAAGCGGAAGCATGGAACTCACAAAATATAAAACTCTCTATATTCGAGCATTGCAGACTCTCAATATTGCACAATCACCAGAAATAAATTTTTTCTACTTCTTTTTGGCAGCAGACTTTGTAACCTTGGCGCCGCTGGGATCCTTCTTCTCCACGCTCTTGATGACGCCAACAGCCACGGTTTGCCTCATATCCCTCACGGCAAAGCGACCGAGCGGAGGATACTCGGAGAAGGTCTCGACCACCATGGGCTTTGTGGGAACCATCTTCACGAAACCTGCATCGCCATTCTTGAGGAACTTGGGCTCCTTCTCAAGCTCCTTGCCTGATCGTCTGTCAATCTTGGTCAGGATTTCGGCAAATTTTACCGCAATGTGGGAAGTGTGGCAGTCGAGCACTGGAGCGTAGCCATTGCCGATCTGACCGGGGTGGTTCATTATGATGACCTGGGAAGTGAAGTTGGCAGCTTCTCTGGCAGGATCATCCTTGGAGTTTGAGGCAACGAAACCACGTTTGAGATCTTTCACCGCAACATTCTTCACATTGAACCCCACATTGTCACCAGGGAGGGCTTCCTGGAGAGCCTCATGGTGCATCTCAACGGACTTTACTTCTGTGGTCAAACCGGTAGGTCCAAAGGTGACGACCATACCAGGCTTCAAGACACCAGTCTCAACACGGCCGACGGGGACAGTGCCAATACCACCAATCTTGTAGACATCCTGAAGGGGGAGGCGGAGAGGCTTGTCTGTTGGCCTCTTTGGCTCTTGGATCAGGTCAAGAGCGTCTAGGAGAGTTGGACCCTTGTACCAGTCGAGGTTTGTGGATCTCTCAATCATGTTGTCACCCTCAAAACCAGAGATCGGAACAAAAGGAATCTTATCAGGGTTGTAGCCAACCTTCTTCAGATAGGAGGAAACTTCCTTGACTATTTCATCATACCTAGCCTTAGAGTACTTGGGGGTGGTGGCGTCCATCTTGTTGCAGCAGCAAATCATCTGCTTCACCCCAAGTGTGAATGCAAGTAAAGCATGCTCACGAGTCTGACCATCCTTGGAGATACCAGCTTCGAAACCACCGGTGGTAGAGTCGATAATAAGGACAGCACAGTCAGCCTGAGAAGTTCCGGTGATCATGTTCTTGATGAAGTCACGATGGCCAGGAGCATCAATAACAGTGCAATAGTACTTGGTTGTCTCGAACTTCCAGAGAGCAATATCAATGGTAATTCCTCTTTCACGCTCTGCCTTGAGCTTGTCAAGAACCCAAGCATATTTGAATGACCTCTTGTTCATTTCAGCAGCCTCCTTCTCAAACCTCTCAATAACACGCTTGTCAATGCCACCAAGCTTGTAAATGAGATGCCCGGTAGTGGTGGACTTGCCAGAATCGACATGGCCAATGACCACAATGTTGATGTGTACCTTCTCCTTACCCATAGTTGGGGTACACAACTAGCTAAGCAAAAGAATGATGAAGACGGGTTAGAAGAAAAAAATAATATTAAGAGGCAAGATGGGATTTCTTCAAGCAGACAAAGTGCATTACGCTTGACATTTAGGTCACCTAAATATAAAAAGCATTCCAATTTCTGAGACATATATCAAACATCACAAGTTCAAAGTTAAAAATAATCAACAGCAAAAACCATTGTAAGTCTCAATGAACGGGAAAGAATCCGAAAACCAAACTTGCAAAAACAGAAGAACAATACAACAATAAAGCCGTTAGTAGGTAATTACTTAATAAAAAAAAACTCAAGTAAAGATGAACGATTGGCTTTTACAAAGTCTCATCTGCCATCACATGCATTAAAAGGCTTGCATTAAAAAAAAAAAGTTTGCGTCATAATGTAAAATATACAATAAAATCAACACTGAAAACAATACAACTAATCGTAGCTGAGCAAGGAGATGAAATTCCCAAAAGCAATCCAGCAGACGAAGTTCACATGATAATGAGTGGTTGGGCATCTCCTTCTCATAGAGAATAAATTGAGAAGCCACCGTTGAAAAGCTAGTTTATTTATTAATTTTAAAATACCATTCTAGAAGTGGATTATTCAAGGCGAATTCCTTGAAGGAAAAAACTTAGTTATTTTTTACTAAAAAGAAATGCGCCTACTTTTTGATAACTCCTGGCTGTCATATCAAAGTTAAATAAGCCCACCAAAATGAAACTTAAAACAGTCACTTTTAAGATAGGAACTAACAAAAATAAAATCAAATTCCTGACTAAGTATCTCAATTTGCGAAGTGTCCCAGGTGTATATAATGGTGCAATAGCTTAGCTACAATGGGTTGTGATCAAATGATGTAATTCAAGTAACCCTTTATTTTGCAAGAGATCTACAAATAGAAAGCTATGGAGGATAAGTAGTTGGAACGTGTTGTTTATTTTTACTTATCAATTGTTTTACTACTTTCACTAATCACTATATATAAGTGCTTTGTGATGCAAATGTGATCAGTTACCTTTTCTTTCAAAATAATCTGGTAACTTCAAACAAGCAAGGACATAAATATTTTTAAGTGTTCGTTTGAGATTGACTTTCTTACTATTTCTTGAAGCAGTTTTCTAGGACAAATTTTTTAATTTTTGTACTAAAAAAATGTTTGAAAAACAGCAAGAAAGTCATCCCAAATGAAGCCTAAGTCAGTTTATGAGTGTTAAGCTTTAATAAGAAAAATAGCATTCTATAGCATCAAAATAAAATATTACTGGATAAAGAAGCACTAAAAGTTTGCACCAATAAAGGTGCAATCTTGCTAAAGCTCAGTTACTGTATGAGAGAATGATATCCAGAGCAAGTAAGAAGTAGCACTAGACATGAAAACTCCCTGATTTACAATATTTATATACGCCTCCAGAACAAGGCCATCAAGATGCTAAAAGAATTATACCTTGAAGCCGAAAATAGAGGCAACCAACAATATTATTTGATTGGAATACAACAACAGGTCTCGTCCCACCATATGGAACAGGCTATTTTACTTCACAACAGCCAATCCAGACGAATAATTTTACAACAAGCAACATCATTACATCAATTGCAAAACCACACAAATCAGATCTTGAGATAGAAACCTAGAAAATCTACAAGAGTTTGAATCAAACCAGGTAGCTAGATGTATAAAAAAAAAACATCAGCATATTGAAAGTTTAGTAACTAAGCAACCAAACCTTATCAAGAGATGCGAGAAGAGATTCAGAAGACCAGCGTAGGCGGCTATAGCTGCGAGGCGGAGATAGAAAGAGAGAAGAGACTATTTGCCCATATTTATAATCACAGGAAGAACGGTAAACGGGTTCTGCGGCTACTTAGCTAGGGTTTCTCTGTCCGTATATAGAGCGAGGTCGCATCTTGCCGTTAAACATCACAATGGAGATCGGACGGTGCAAATTAGGCTTAGTGTTGCGTGGGCCGCACGCTGCGAAGTTAAATATCCATCCAAAAATATAATTTCCATATATGCACTTATTGCCTAAATAATTTGAGATTTTGCTTTTTAAGAGACCGTTTGGCAACAGGATTTAAGCAGCCGGTAGATCTCAGGGAGGAATAAATCCTCCGTTTTCCTCTTTTTTTCTGTAAATCATGGAGTTCGGTGGATTTATGGGATTTGGCTGAAGAAGCGCGCCAAAGGGAGAAAGATAGTTACCTTCATAGCAAGCGAGCTCCCGTCGCTACTTCCGATCCAAAAGGAAGAACGGCGAACTGAAAGAAAGGTCGTCGAAGTAGGCGGAGAAGGCTTTTAGCGACTTGTTCAAAATCCTACCTCACGCAAAGCAGGCAAATTCGAGCAACAAATAAACGGAGAAGAGAAAAGCAACACGTAGAAATTACCTTGTGGAAATAGAAGAAGGCTTCGTTCGTTAGTGACAGTTTCTATAAAGATTTTTCGTGCTAAAATTTTATGCTAAATAAATAAAAAAAAGTAAGAAATTAATTTATATAATTTAATTAATAAAAATTAAAATATAAATAATTAATTTGATGATTAATAATATATATTATAATTAAATAACTAATTAGATAGTGAATATTCTAAATAATAATAGTAGTTATAGAATTAGTTAAGATATTAATATTTATAATAATAATAGGATAACTAAACTAGTTAATATCTTTATGTTATTTTATTACTTAAATTACATAACTAATATTCTAAATAAAATTTATATTATTAGTTAAGTTATTTAATAATTAATCTAATTTTTAATTATATTATTTATAATTATAATTTATTAATGATAATTTAAATTAAGATGAATAAGTAACATACATTAAAAATATAAATAAATTTAAATTTTTAATGAACTATTGTCTTAAGATTCTGGATTGATTTTCAAATTATTTACATAATTTTAACTACCGTTGCAAGCAAATTTTCAAGCTACTAGTGATTTATTAATCAAATTTACAGGATTTACTAAATCGTGCTAATGTTAAATCATGTTGTTGCAAACAACTCCTAAGTAAGTGTAAATGAAAAAAAAAGATATTCGGAATGGTTTTGAAATATGAATTTAGAAATTAACTTATTTTATCAATAATTAATATATATATAATTATATTATATATATATAACTTAAAACTAAGAAATATCATATTTTGTGAAAATAAATAACAAATTTATTCAAAAATAATTATTCTGCTTTTTAATAAATAAGAAAGCTACTTATATCATAGTTTTAAAATTATGACAATAGTTTTAGTGGTCCATACATTCTTAGTATTATTTAAGATTTATTTTGAGATACATTAAGGGCTATTTACTGGCTAAAAGAAGTACGTGTAAAGGATTACTTAGAGTTATTTAGATGCGTGTAAAGTAAATTCATATGAATGATATTTTTTGTTTGATTTGAAGTAAAATGAATGTAGTGTAAAGTTTAAAAATGGCGTTACCTGGTGACAGTGGTGTCAAAAGGCCAAAGGGTGGCATCAGTGGTGGGTGGTCACCAGTGGAGGGTGGTGACCGGTTGTGGCCGAGCCTACTTGCAGTGTAAATGATTATCACTCAAAATTGGATGAGAATTATTTACCTAAAAAACGAGCCAAATTATTTTACACTTAATTTACTATAATTTATATTTTTTTAATCCAACCAAATACCAAACATTCACTTTATTTTACACCCATTTGATTTCCAACCAAATAACCCCTAAAATTGACTCGTTCGGAGTTTTCCCTTGCACTGTTGGTTGGGTTTGAACAAAATTAAAATTATTTTCTTTTAATTATAAAAAAGAATAAAATATTTTTTTAAAACTATATGCATATTTTTAACAAAAGATATAACATTATTAAGAGTTTTTTTTTATCAATTTAAATTTGTTTTTATTTTATTTCTTTCACTTTAAATAAATAAAATTCGAAAGTTATGTTTTACTAAAAACAGAAAATGTGTAAAATAGGAGTAATCTATACCATTTAATATTATAATTATTACACTTATTATTTATCCTAATTAAATGTTATGTAAGACCTAATTAATTACTATAATAATCACAAAGGAATTATTTTCTTCTTAGGTTAATTAACAATATAGATGTTTAATATATGTTAGATTCATTAGTAAAATTATAGTAATAAAAATGTAATGGTTGCAATTTCAATTATAGTTAATTCATAATTAATTAAATAACTAATCACAGCTTAATATGTTTTACTTAATTAATAATTTAAAAAGCACCATGTTAAATTACCATAATCAAATGCTGCTAAAATTTTAATGATCATAATTAAATTTTATTGAATTCATACTCAACCCAAAGTTACTTTGATTATCAATTAATTAATTATTAATTTCAATCTTAATTACCATAAAAATTTAATAAACATATTCACTCAATTAAATAATAATTATTTCATAAACAATCTAACTTAATTATTTAACAAACTCATCCAACTAATTTCCTAACTAATTATCTTAACCTTAATTATAACAAAATAGTCTAATTAATTAATTGTACTAGGTTTAATCAGTGTGAGTAAATTATAACATAGACGATTAAGTTTTAAGCTTAAATTAATCTCACAGACCAAAAACAATCTGCTAACCCAGCAAGGAGAAGTTCGATAGAGTTACAATTATCAAATGTCCCCATCTATAAATTATCTATAGAATATTAATTATTTATATATTACATTTATTTAAAAATAAAATAAAATTTTTAAGACTCATGATGATCAACATTTTGATTAGAATATCTATGAAAATGAAGAAAAATCAAAGGTGTGAATTAAAGATTATATAAATTATAAAATTTTAATGCATTACTTGTTTCACAATCATAGCTCCAGTTGTGAAGGCTGCGGAATAGAAGCTATCTGCTCGGCGAACGACTCTGAATTCCGGCTTGGAACCCTTGCGTATATGCTGCATTCTTTAAGATCATCTGTAAAAAGTTTGTCAACTTACTAAGATTAGAGCCATCGAAAGAAATACATGGATGATTCATCTTTTCAAAAGATCCGCTGATAGAGCAGTTTTGTTTTTTCCGGACATTTAGGTTTTGTTTGGGACGGTTTTCTTTCTGCTTCTCAAAACAGCTTTCTAGTACAAAATTTTAAAAAAAAAATTATACTAAAAAGTAGCTTTAAGAAGCATAAAAGAAAGCCGTCCCGAACAAAGCCTTAGGCCAATTACCCAACCAACAGATAAAGATGAGCTGCAACTGATAGTAGTTTGAAATATAGGCTAAATTTGGAATGAATTATAATTTTTCTGTTTTTATTGTTTGAATTTTTAAAAGTTTTGTAAACAAAATTTTTATTATATTTTTTCAAAAGCCGTTTTCCTAAACCCAAAATTCCAAGAAATCATGAAATGTTGGGATAATAAATTTTCAATTAGAATAGAGCAAAATCCTTGATGTAAATTATAAATCTCAAAGTGCTCAAAAATTGATCCAGCAAATTTCCATAAATTATTATTTTTAGTGAATATACACTAAAAAGGACTAATTTAGGCTTATCTAACCCTTATGGGGAAGGGATTGCCCCGACCACCTTCAATTGCTTGTTGACTCTAGACAGCTCAATCTCCCACCTTCTAAAAGAGAGGCAATGCCTTAATTGTATCTAGTTCACAAATTGCCCAAATCTATTGCCTTCAAAAGAGCGACTAGCTCAATTACCTCAAATAATTGACCCACCTTAAGATTTTGCAATTCTACTTCCTTATAAGAGAGAGACGGCCTCAGCCACCTTTGGTTGTCCGCCAACTTCAAGTCATCTAGTTCTACTTCCTTCCAAGAGGGGAATGTTAGCATGCGGTTCATTTACTTTATTGTGTACCCTCCCTTTTACCTGAATTTGCTTATTAAAAGATATCTGTACCGTCACCTGGATGAATAGAATTGTCTTTCCTTCTTTACCTATTCCTCTTCTTCTCTGTTTCTCTCTTCTTTGCCAAGACTCCATTGGCATCTCTTTCATGATATCAAGAGCCACAAATGGGGATCAAAGCTCCACTTCTTCCCTCCCTCCCTCCTCCTCTCATCCCGCCGACCACACTGCCAAAGTCTCCATCCCAGTACCTCTCAAATTTCTTGTCTCCAACATCAAGAACCTAATCCCTCATCCTCTCAACAACGACAACTATGCTATCTGGCATATTCAAATCATCTAGCAATTTTTTGCGAACGGGTACGTTGGTCATCTCACAGGCGTCAATGCTCCGCCCTCCAAAGACGCCCCACAAGAACTTGCACGATGGCGACTCATCGACAGTAATTTGATCTCCGCTCTCTTCTCCACAATATCACCCTCCATCCTGCCTTATGTCATCACCTCTACGACAGCTCAAGAAATCTGGACCGTTCTTGAAAGACGATTGCAACATTCAAGTCGCTCGAGTTCTTCAGCTCAAGAACGAGCTTCATCACTTACAAATGAAAAATCTTACCATGCAACAATATCTTTCACAAATAAAGAACATGGTCGACAACATCGCTGCCGCCGGCTCCAAGATTGATCCGGAAGACATCGTGCTCTACATCCTCAACGGGTTTCCGTCTACATACAATTCCTTCAAAACTATCATCCGCACCTCCTCCATTCCAGCAGATCTTGACAATTTATATTTGCTACTTTGCAGCGAAGAAATTCCTTTCAATTAAGAACTTCTCAAAGATCAGCCCACACCCTCTTCCATAACAGCTCTTTATGTTACTTCCTACAATCAAGCCAAAGGGCGAACTCAAAAATGCCAAAACAGGAACATCAACAGTTCATACAGAACACACTCTCCGAGCCAACCTGTCCCGCAACCCATAAACACAAATAATCAGCGCCCAACTTGCCAAATCTGTGGCAAAACAGGGCACATAGCCCTTAACTGTTGGCACAGATGCAACTTTAAGTATGCCCTAACCACTTCAAATGGGCCACGAGCCATGCTAGCGCAACCAACCTCTTACGGCACGCAAGATTGGATTCTCGACTCCGGGGCCTCCACACTGACGCCGGACAGCACGAATCTCCAGCAGCTGTCCGCCTACAACGGCCAAGATGCTATCTCCGTCGCAAATGGCTCCACCTTACCAATTCATAACTCGGCCAAGGTTTGCTTCCGCTACGGACACACCCCGTAAGCTTCGGTTATGCAATATTTTACACGTTCCATCTCTCACTCACAATCTACTTTCTGTTTCAAAGCTAACATCAAATAACTCAATCTCAATTACTTTTGATACTAATGGCTTTGAAATAAAGGATTCTCAGGACCATCGTCTTCTTCTTCGTGGACATCTCCATAATGGGCTATATCACATGCAACCGGCTCCGGAGGCGCCTCCCACCGCCCTTCATGCCAGCACCACATCCTCTCAACTTTGGCATGCCCGCCTTGGTCACCCAAACAACAGACTTCTTTCTTTTCTTGCTAAACAAATTCCTGACTTTAGAAATGTATCATTTTCATTTCTTTGCAAATCTTGTAACGTGGCCAAGAGCCACAAGCTCTCTTTTAATAAAAGAAATTCTGTTTCCTCGTCACCGTTCGAGCTTATTCACTCGGACGTGTGGGTGCCGGCACAACAACAATCGTTATATGGGTTTAAATACTACATAATTTTTATCGACGATTTTACTCGTTTTTCATGGATTTATTTCATGCATTCTAAAAATGAAACCTTCACGAAATTTCAACAATTTTGCAGTTTAGTTCGCACACAATTCTCAACAACACCAAAAACCTTTCGCTCCGACGACGGAGGTGAATTCGTGAGCATTGTTTTCAAATCTTTTCTTCAAAACAACGGTATTCTCCACCAACTAAGCTGTCCTCATACGCCGGATCAGAATGACCTAGCTGAACGTAAGCACAGACACCTTCTAGATCTCACCCGCATGCTCCTACAAGCGTCCCATCTACCCAATCAATTCTGGGCTGAAGCCACCTCCACAGCCAACTATCTTATAAATCGGCTCCCCTACAAATCTATCTCCCTCAGATCTCCCTACCACACTCTCTACAACAAATTCCCAAACTATTCTCATCTTCGCACCTTCGGGTGTCTCTGTTATCCTTGGTTACAACCTTACACCACCAACAAATTTGCCCCTCGCTCCGCCGACTGCATTTTTATCAGATACTCCCCTAGCCACAAAGGCTACAAATGTTACAATCTCAACACACATAAAGTCCACATCTCTCGTCACGTAATCTTTCACGAACAAATCTTTCCCTACAACTCACCGACCAAAATTTGCATACCAAATTCTCAACTTACCATGACCACCACTAACCCTCTACTCCTTGTCCCAACTTCAGCTATTCCTCCTTCAATCACTTCGGATAACACCAAACAACACCCTCACACGCACACAAATAACACCCAACCCGCAACACTACCTGTCTCTCCCTGTCCAGCACAAGACGTGAGCTCCGAACCTCATATTTCAATTCACAACCGTCCCACTCACCATATGACCACACGATCCAAGTACGACATATCAAAACCCAAACAATTCTTGTCACTTCTCAACAACACTACCCCTCCTATCACTCCGACAACTTACAAGCAAGCAGCAAAATTTGACCATTGGCGTCTCGCTATGGCTGAAGAATTCTCCGCCAAACAGCAACAAAGAACATGGTCTCTAGTTCCTCCTCCGTTGAACAAGCAAATTCTTGGATGTAAGTGGACCTTCAAAACCAAGATGCTACCTTCAGGACAAGTCGACCGCTACAAAGCTCGACTTGTCGCATTGGGCTATGACCAAATATATGGAGAAAATTACACCGAGACATTCAGCCCCGTCGCCAAGATGCCAACCATCCGCCTACTTCTTACTCTAGCCTTGCACCGCAAATGGCAAATACTTCAACTCGATGTTTCCACGCCTTCTTGCACGGCGACCTTCCTGATGACATCTACATGCGCCAACAGCCCGGGTTTGAGGATTCTCGATCATCAAACTACGTATGCAAGCTACATAAATCCCTCTACGGGCTAAAGCAAGCACCTAGGCAGTGGTTCCAAAAACTCACAACCTTCCTACAATCTTGTGGATTTCGGTTTAGTCGCTCCGACCCATCCCTACTTCTTTTTACTCACCGCCAAGTTCAGATTTTTCTATTAATCTATGTTGAGGATATCCTTGTGACAGGGAACGACTCTCACTACATCCAGTCACTACTTCAAGATCTCAACTCTCAATTTGCTCTTAAGCAGCTCGGCCACATATCCCTCTTCCTTGGAATACAAGTTCTTCAAAACACCAAGGGATACTTTCTCACACAACAACATTATGCAACCAAAATTCTCAATGAGGCTGGCTTCTCTGATTACAAGCCGTCACCTACACCTCTAGCTCCCGCATCAAAACAACAACCCTGCGACAACAATCCGTTCCATGACCCCTCTATCTATCGTCGTCTCGCCGGCTCTCTTCAGTATCTATCAATCACTAGACCCGACATAGCCTTCGCAACGAATCTCATCTGCCAACATATGCACCAGCCCACGGAACAAGACTTTCAAGCTCTCAAACGTCTTCTACGCTACGTCAAAGGCACTCTTTCCTTTGGCCTACCGATAGTCACTGGCGATTTACATCTTCGAACCTTCACCGACGCAGACTGGGCCGCTGACAACTCTGACAGAAAATCCATCTCTGGATTTTGTACCTTCTTGGGTCCAAATCTCATCTCTTGGACTGTCAAGAAACAGGTAACCGTAGCCAAGTCCTCAACAGAAGCCGAATATCGGGCCCTCTCCGCCGCCACCTCATAACTTATTTGGCTTCGTCGATTAGCCGCCGAACTCTCCCTCGTACAAGACACTCCGACAACCATCCACTGCAATAAAATCTCCGCCATTGCTCTTGCCAAGAACCCTGTCTTCCACGCCCGAACAAAGCACATTGAAATTGACTATCACTTCATTCGACAACACATTGCTTCCGGCGACATCAACATTCAACACATTCCTTCCAAAGACCAAATCGCGGACATCCTAACTAAACCTTTCTCAACCGCCCGCTTTACAGAGCTTTGTTCCAAATTAACCATTCAATCTTCGAATGATTAATTTTAGGGAGGCTGTTAGCATGCGGTTCATTTACTTTATTGTGTACCCTCTCTATTTACCCTTTTACCTGAATTTGCTTATTTAAAGATATCTGTACCGTCACCTATAGAATTGTCTTTCCTTCTTTACCAATTCCTCTTCTTCTCCGTTTGTCTCTTCTCTGCCAAGACTCCATTGGCATCTCTTTCAGAGAACGCCTAAACCACCTCCTTCCAAGGTACTTGGGATAGCTTTAGACCACTATTTTAAAGAGATTTTTATACTAAAAAGTAAATTTACAAAACAGTAAGAAAATTGTCCCAAACAAAACCAAATTGACCTTCACCGATCACCAACCAACTCGAAGTCATCTTCAAGGCAAGGGATAATTTGAATTTTAATGCAAAGCCATCAACATTAACAACTCTAAACGTTGTTCACCACCACATAACTGCAGTTCAAGCCTTTTACAATGTATTGATGCGTCTTCCAATTTTGTGGAAGATGTCTCTTTATAATATAAAGCTAATCACTGTAAATTATTTCTTTTTCCGGTTATCCACATACAAAATCCCTATCTTGGGTTTTGCATTTACAGTTTTATGATCGTGTGTGGAATCCTCATTCGAAACTCAATAAAATTTCATTTCTACCATAATAATATTCTATATAAATTTTTTTCAATTTTGTCCATCCATGCAAACTATTAATTGCAGGCTACTTTTCCTAATTCAAAAGCACATAAAAGTACAAAACTCAGTTTAATTGTCAGCCAAGAAAAATTAGAAGATCACATCTACTTTTCCTACCACAAAAACAAATACAATGTAGAAACCAAAGGAAGCCTTACAAATCGTTTAAAGGAAGAACACATCTCTGCGGATTATGATATCTGAATCCGCATTTGGAACCTCTTAGCTTTTCAAGTCTTAAACCTTTTTTAATATTTTTAGGTGAAACTAAGAACACAATCAATTTGTCTAGGAATAACATTACTGGAGCATAAAAAACAAAAAAACCTAATAGAATCAAGACAATTCCTTTCCCATAAAACAAATACAATTTGTGCTTTGATCTATATAAAGTTTTGAGTTCATAACTAACCATGCAATTAGTTATGAGATTAATATTAATGGTTTCAATTATTCCATTTAACGATATTTTGGAAAACCCAAGCATAACTTACCAAAGCCGTCATTACCATTAAAGCAACCAAGAGTAAAACTTTGTAAGGATCAAAAACCAAACTAATAGAATGGCAGGTTCAGGAGATAGCACAACACTTACAGCTAAGTTTTCTAGATCAGAGGAGATCCGCTTATTGACCCTGTCCAGCACTGCTGATTCAAGAGGCTCTCTAACCTCAGCTTTTGAATCCTTGGACATCTGCAATTTTCATGTAAGTTGATACTCCATCAAAATCACAGTAGAGTACAAGGAACCAGTGATTATTTATAATATCAGAAAACAACAATAACCTCAGACAAAACAGCCAAAGATGTTTTCTCTATCAGTTCTTTGATGAATTTATTGACATCAGTTGCCTCGGCTAGGAGATCAGCAGTTTTGCAAGGCTTCCCCATTGCTTTTTGGGATACTCTAGACTGGTTATCATCTTCTATGATCAAATTAACGGCAGACATTATGAGTGTTTCAACATAAATTGAAGAATAAAACTTCTCCGTACATATGCAGCTAGTCAGAAATGCAGAAATTAGAGCTCAAAGTTTACTGCTTTGGTATCTCATAATTACCAGGAAATTAGAACGTGATATGCACGAGATAATACTAGTCATTTGGTCAAAAAATTAAGTGAAAATATGGCAGCTCAACGTTTATTGCTTGGGTATCCCATAACTACCAGGAAATAAGAGCGTTATATGCACTAGTGAGCATTATATAATTAATCAAAAATAGTTGAAAAGATGAAAAAGTAACTAGAAAAACATAGATCTCTTCAAGGAAATTCAAATCAGAGCCTGTCCTTAGAGTGAGATGAATTTACACTAGAAAATTTCGAATGGAATAAAAGCAGTAATTAAGATCAGAATAGGAAAACTTAATCTTTTGGTTGGGTATATTCCTCACGTTTACTTGGCAACTGTCATGAACATTTCATTGTTGTTTCCAAACTAAGATCTTGTAGTTGTTTCATACGAAAGGTCAAAAAACAGAACATTTCTCAGTTATGGAACGCTGTATGCACGATGAAACTAGATATCATGGCACATTACAGAGAAGCATGCTAAAATATATAACCATGCTTATGAAGTAAAAACGGTAAAAATAACAAAAGTGCAATAGCATTATAAAGTCCAAGATGCCAACCATCAAACTACACATACAATTGCTAAAATATTATCATGAATGATGTAAATCTTTCTAGTGAACTCTTAGTTGTTTCATCAAGAAAAAGATTTGCGTGAAGAAAAAAAAATCAAGTAACCTTATAAATACCTTATTCTAGGAGTGAGCTAGGCCTCAATCATGAAGCTTTAATACTACGATATTCATTGCATCGACGATAGCAGCCCCTTGTTGCCGGATCTCCCTGCTTTGCCCAAGCCCGTGAAATTCAAATCCAGGTGTTTCAATTAATTGCCTAATTAAAAATCCATCTTAAGGCAAGGCAATTAATGACATTTAGAGCTATTTGAAATTTGAATTTGTTTCCCTCTCATTTTAAATCTATTTGGGGAAGTTACCTAAGGAATAGTTAAATCTGAAATTATAATTCAGATTTAATTAATTTATTTACTCTCCATGGGCCCCACTTAATTAACATTACTTTTCTCTTCCCCTCATGCCCCACCACTTGATTTCTTTCAAAATAAAACCTCTCCCTATGGAATTAATGCAATAATTAATTCCCTATCCTTCCACGTGAGAATCTGGAATGAGAAATATTGCCTTAAGTTCATTCTTTCTTTTGGAAACATTTCAAACTCTCTAAATCTCCTCATCGCTGGGCTTTGAAATCTTTCCACAAATGCAGCCAATCACTTGGCCGAAATTCCTGTTAATTTTAATTCTTAGTTTACTCCCATTAAAGGAATTAGGAATTGATTAACCTCCACCTCAGCCCCTCTACATCCCGCCAGCTAAATCACTGGAATTTTCCCCCCTCGCCTTTATGAAATTGTTTTGAAACTCATCCGTAAGAGCAGTCCATTTCTTTGGAAAGTTTTCCAAATCCCTGTTTGCTGCTAGCCGAGTTGTCCAAGATCCTCTGCTGGAGTTTATTCTGGGAATTAAAAATCCTCTGCTGGGCCGAAATCTTCCAAGGCCATAACGTGGTTCCAGCAGCCCATTTCTTTGGAAAGTTTTCCAAATCCCTGTTTGCTGCTAGCCGAGTTGTCCAAGATCCTCTGCTGGAGTTTATTCTGGGAATTAAAAATCCTCTGCTGGGCCGAAATCTTCCAAGGCCATCACGTGACAATTCCTCCACTAGAACCTCTCCAAATTCCTTACATAATTGAGCCCTCTTCCTCTCAAAGCTGCAGCCAATTTCTGAAAGAAATCTGAATATATTTCAGATTTATAGAAGGAATTATTTCAGGTTTTCGAGAGGGCGCTTGGAGTTCGCTCCTCCAAATCCGGCTTCCTTCCCGGCGACGAGTCCTCTTGGGATTACTTGTCTATTAGTGGCATCGTTGAGTTTACTTACAATCCTCCTCCGCTAGCCTATATTTTCGAGAGCAATGAAAGGACCTCAAGGCGAATGACCTAAATTTTAAACGTGTGGCTTTAGTAGTAGCTATTTTCATTACCTAGTTTACTTTGGTTATATTTTGCAAGACTCATGTAATTCTTAAATGTAATCACTGCCGTTAACATAATCTATCACGAAGTTTCTTGAATCCAACTTGAGTAAGCTAGATTTTCTCGTTAACATTGCAAAGTTAAACTCTCATTAATCTCTAACGTGCAATTCATGTTCACCGCATGTGGTTTCACATCAGCAATAGCATTAATAAGTCCAAGATGCCAACTATCAAACTACACATACAATTGCTAAAATATTATCATGAATGATGTAAATCTTCTAGTGAACTCTTAGTTGTTTCATCAAGAAAAAGATTTGCGTGAAGAAAAAGAAAATCAAGTAACCTTATAAATACCTTATTCTAGGAGTGAGCTAGGCCTCAATCATGAAGCTTTAATACTACGATATTCATTGCATCGACGATAGCGCAACAATAGTGATTAATCAGCAAATTGCTAACCCTTGGGATGGAGTGCGGATATTTGATGTGGCAAACTTGAAAGCATCCCTATTCGAGTCGAGAAGCTAGAAATCAATATTGCAGCACTCCAAACAACCTCCTCGTACCAATAAAAAAACTTCAAAATGGGAATGGTGTACATTTGTCAGGAACCAGTGGAGAGCAACTTGTTCCACTATCATGCAGTACAACAAGACTTGATAAGAATGGGTCTCAAAGATTCAGTTGAAGTCCCAGATCATCAGTGATGTGATCCTTGTGAAAGTGGTCTAACAAAGGTTGTAATAGTGAAGGAGGATTTATAAAACGAGAAGAGTGTATACAAATGTTGTAGGTTTGAAATGGAGATGGAGAGAAGTGGTGGAATCGGATGGATACCTACTAAATGGGAGAAACCAAAGAGATCTTGTTCATGGATTTTGGTTTCCAGGGAGACGGTTAGGGGTATTGGAATTACTAGAATGGCTTGTGGAGGACTAGTTCAAAAATGTAAAGATGAGATCTAGTGTTTCGGTTTTGTGTTCTGAATTCGGATAGCTTCTAGATGTTGGTTCTCAAAACTAGGCCCTAAGAATTTAAGGGTGGCCAAGATCCACCAAATGGAATTCAAACCTTCTCAGAGAAATCAAGCTTTTGTGCAAGGATGTTAAGTGAATTAGTGTAGATTTGGATATTAGGATTAGGTAACAAAAGATAACAATTGCCTCTCACCAAAGAGGAAATATTGGTAAAATACCACTAAGTAATTCAAAATAGAAATTGGCCACCATGTCTATTCTTCTGCGTACTCAAACTCAAAACCAATAATGAAGCAGTCAACAGCCTCTTTATTTTATTCATTATTCATTCTTAAAGCTCTTACAAACAAAAGCATTAAAAAGATAGGACGGGCTTTCTGTGAAAGGATGCCTGATGATTATAGATCTCATTGGCCAAGTGGTGTCTCTTCACTGGGAGGAACCACTCTTGATCGAGGAATGTTCAAATGAAATGCAGCTACCTCCATTTTGAAGATGAATGAAAACCAACTCTTATTTTGAAATTAAAATTTCAACTTTTTTTCTTTCATAATTCTAAATTTAAAATTCGCTAATGGAACACAAAAAATAACTCAACAAGGCCTTAATATTACAAGCATAAACATAAAAAAGAACAAAAACTAGAACCAATTTCCATTTGAAGCTTCCTCTATGTTTGTGGTCTTGAGATTGGTTCATTCCCATCTCCATTGGTTCTACACCAATCAGTACCAAAACAAATCTCATATGCTGTCATGGTGAAACTATTAAGGCTCAACATGATACCCTCTTGGCACAACTAAAGATCCACCACAGAGCCAACTAAGATCTCACTTGGAGCCATGCAATAGTTTCCTAGCGGTGTTGTCACCTTAAAAACATAAACCACTATACCAATGGTAATTTCAAGGTATCCATCAATATGATATCATTAAACATAAAAAATAAAGAAAACCACATATAGAAGGACAAAACAAGTCCAAAGCCAAAACCAAGATGGTTTCCTAATATGATTCCACAAATTAAATGGCCCATCCATCATAAGATGGGGGTGCTGAAATACAATTAAAATTCAAGGGTTTCACAACAACAACAAAAAGATACACAATACTAGTTTTATGAAGAGGTCCCCAAAACATATAAAACACCAAAAAAATGAAATGGAAAAAAATATAAAATAAAATGATGATTGATTCCGTCCGAGCTATCACCACTAAATGCCTTTACCTAAAACTTGTCAAGAGTACAAAATTTAAAGTTGACCAAATCTCTTAAAGACCCAATGGCATTTCAATGTGACCATAACGATAACACATTAAGTAGCCAAGCCAATAAGGATTTGGCAAATACTTTTAAGCTAGGTGGTCATGCATAACATGTGTTGATAAGCACCATTAATTGACAATAAAAGCTTATTTTTTTCCTCAACGACCATGTCTATTGATAAGGCATAAAGCTTTATATTAGCTGAGGTCTACTACAAAACTAGCATCCTTCTACTTTTCTCCACCCCCAATCTACAAGGTCACTTTAAACAAGATAACTCATAATTATTAACAAGACTTCTTAGGTCAACTACCCATAAAAATGACCACCATTAGATCACAAATGTCCACTGATAGAGTGCAAATGTCCACCGATAGAGTCTATCACCTCCTCGAAGCATAAGAGCATTGAACTGATTCAACATAAAGTTATAAATCAAACTAACATGAAAATCTATCAAATCATCAAGTCAAAGTACAATCTCATAACTATATTTAATTAAGGGTTCTCTTTCAAAGTTGAGATGTGTAATTAATTGCAAGAGGGAGGGGGTGACCTCAAACTAGGAATATTAAATCCTTTATATGGACATACTCTCTGAGAATAACTTACAAAACCCACACCGACATGAGTGTGATGGCTCTATTTTAAATGATATATTTGTTTATTCATCCAGTTACTTATTTTGCATCCTTTGTAGACATGATATTTCTTGAATAGGTATGACATACCTCATAGTACTATATATAGGATAAAGAGGATATTAACCATATTATGATATACTACCCACTCATAATTTTTGTTGGTGTGAATTCTCTAAATTGGTTGGATTCAAGATCAATTATAATTGCTTGATGATATTATAAAAGCCTAAACAAGGTGATTTTTAGCACCTATGGAAAGCTTCAAACCAATAATATAAACTATATATGGACAAAATCTTTGGTTAGTGCTTAATCCATTGTTTAATAATATTCCTTTGTAAAGTACTCTATAGATTGAAAAGAGTCAAGCAAACCTCTTTAGGTGGTGCACCTCAAAATTCCACAATGGACTAGATTATTCCTCTAGCAACTCATTTTGCATCCTCGATAAGCATGAAATTTCATGGCATATCTCATGGTACTATATGGTGGCTCCGAATAATTATAGATAAAGAGGAGACATAGCATATTTTGATATCCTGCACCTTATAATTATTGTTGCAATGAATTCTCGGAATTGGTTGATTTAAGGCCAATTCCTTAACTATCAGATATACTATATGAGCTTTCTATGATGTAAATTAATTTGCTTATGGAATCCTTACTAATTATTTGATTAGATTGAAAAAACCCAAATAAGGCCATTTTTTAATGTTCTTTCATTGTGGTATATGATGGCTAATCATGCCATCTATGATGCATAGACACGGACACGGATACAACACGACACAGACACGGGACACGTCAATTATTGAAAATATAGGACGAACACGGTTGGACACGATATTATAGTTTTTATATTTTACAAATAGTGTATAAAAATTGAATAAGTATAATTTTTTAATAATTTAGAAATATAAGTTATTTAACTATAAATTGTGCTTAAAATGATTAATATTAAGATGACGAGAGTCGGGCCGTTTATCATTCATCGAGAGATATGACAATGCTGTCGAGAGTCGGGCTTTGATGTTATGCAATAAATATTGGGCGTCGATGTTAAGAGGGCGTTTATTGTCGATGTTGAGAGGGCGTTGGTCGTCGATGTTGAGAAGGCGTTGGACAAAGATGAGATGTCAAGTTGAGGGCGTAAAAATTGCTAGCACTAAGCATTAATGTAAAGACAACGTCTGACTTTTATATGAAGTTCGTTTTGAAATGTTGATGTTGTAATGACCTCAGATGTTGATGTTAAGATGCCATCGGACATTGTTGTAAAATCAAAGTTGTAACTCGCCAAAGATAAATGGAAATGAGATATTCAATGAATGGGGTATTAAGTGCGAACGATTGATTTGGTGTTGTGGATAGGAAATTAGCAATTTAAATTTTATATTTAAATAAGTGAAAATTTTAAATACAAAAAATTATATTTTAAAAAATTCATAAAATATTTAAGATATGTGTGTCGGACACGGGTGTCCAATTTGTATTTAATATTTTTTTAATCAAACGCATTTTTGACGTGTCCGACACGTGTCAGAGTATCGGACGCGTGTCATGTCGTATACGTGTCAGACACTGCACGCCTCTTTGAGGAGAAGTGTCGGTGCATCATAGCTTGGCATGTTTCAATGAGCATTGGCTCTATAAAATTTTTTTGCTAAACACTTCAAAGTTCCTTAAGAAACCGTGTGTTGGTCTCTTCTACTTCTACTTTCTCTTCGCAACCTCCCCCTACTACATGGATTATAAGTAACTTTAACAGGTATGTGATAGCATATGACAACATGCCATTGGAGTTATTATTCAAAATTAGTTTAGCCATCTATTTTTTGAATGTTTTCTAAGTTTGAAAATGTTCTGCGACACATGATTAAATTTCATGATATGAGATGGGACAAGCTAGCTATGTTACTTCCCAAAGTAACTGACATTGGCTAGAAAGAGGTATTCTCTTATGGAGACGACCTTGACTCTCAAATGGTACCCCAACTTGATTTCAACCCATTCATGATCCGAGGCCTAACTATGTGGAGTCAATAGTTAGATGTGCTTCATATTTGCCCACATATTAGACACACAGCTTATTTTCGACAAGTATAATATCCCATTTGAGTTGCATGATTTGATGGGATCACACCAATCAACACATTCACACCCAAAACTCCTAATTAAAGACAAAGGACAATTACAAACTTCCTAAAACAGCCCTCAACATTCAAAATTTCCCTCCAAACGCTCCCCAAACCCACGCGGCTCACCCCCCGTTTCCGCTCAGAGTTGCGCTCCGCCCGTTTTTTTCCGCCTGTAGAAACAGTGGACCGGTCCGGGCTGGACCGGTCCAGCCGGCCCCTCCTGGGCCGGCGTAACAATGATGTGAAAAAGCTTGCATAAACTCAAATAACAACACATATACCACTTTAAAAAAAAAAGACTGAAGAATAAGTCACGATGCACACTCTAAATAATTAAGATAAGATTGATGAGGATGATCATTATAGCAAAATTTATAATTCATGTGGCATATTGAATAATAGAGTATCATGCAGAAAACAAAATGCAATTGGATAAGCTGTTTGTCTATTATCAACCATTTTATAAACAAGACACGAATTTAAAGTGATGGGAATAACCCTGAAAATTAGTCAGCTTTTTCTCCGAAGGTGCATGCTTTTGCTCACGAACATTAACTGCTGCTTTATTTGTTTGTTCAGAAGGTTGTGATGCGTCTACTGGTACAAAAGCAGCAAGATCTGGAGGATTGTCCTTTCCTACCACGGTTTCAGCCTACTTGAGAGCAATGCCTGTTAATAATTCCTTTCCCATGAAAGTAAGCATGGCTGTAATATAAAATTATACAAAAGATAACCTCAAAGTCTACGTAAGACGGGTTTCTTCCGATAGACATCAGAAACTTGTCAAGGTTACTTGCACTGAGAGCTGTCAAAAATGAAATGAAGCACTCAATGATTTCGAGGAAAATAGGTCAGGTAGGTACATAAAAAAAAAGCAAAATATTCATTTAACAGTTATTCAAATGCTTTTACTTTATGCAAAATTTTCCATGCATCACTAAATTCTATGACCCAAAAAAAAGTTACTTTAATAAAAGGGATGTCCTGATACCTGAGTGCTACAAGAAGTTGAATCTTGGATGAATTTCACATAAAAATTTTAACTGCCTCGAACAATATGACAATACACTCTTTAAGTACCGTCTAGCCTTGGAGTGCAATGTAGGTGCCGATTATGAAATAAAACAACATTAAAGAGTAGGCCTATCCCTAAGCTAAACCAGCTTGGAGAAGCCAACCTGATTCCATGATAGCATAAACCAGGGGCAAGCAATGGCAAAAAACACCCAGTTGTTGGTTTGAGGTTGTTTGGTTTGAAGTAAAGTGAATGCGGGGAAATTAATTTTCTGTTTGGTTGGATGTACGTAGAATAAAGTAAAATGTGCTTCTACCAAAAATTACAGTCTTTCAGACATTCACCTATATCTACATGATTAAGATTGACTGCATCAGGAATATTTACACACCTGCACTTGGAAGAATCATCAACAAGCTGCACTTGGAAGAATCATCAACAAGCAAATCCTTTATAATAACACTTTCCTAAGACACTTCTTTATTTTAACTATCTACCCTTAACTCTAGAGTTTTTATCCTCATATATATCTTCATTCTTCTATATAATAGATCCAATATGCTTTAACCTATCACACTTAGGTATTAACTTATCTTCTAATAATATTGAATGATAATTGCTAACGTCAGACCCATTAAAATTATATATCATATACTTGGTCTTTATTTTACTAATTTTAAGGCCTCTAAACATTTTTCCTTGTCATTCTAAATTTTTCTACTATTTTGTTTTTTTGAATTTCAGTAGCAAAATTATATATAGTATTGAAAATTCATGGGTCACTTAATAACTACTAATATTTACCACTGCATCACCAAACATAACTTTAATAATGTTGACACATTTTTTACTTAAACATTTTTTCTTTAAAGTATACAATCAAATCAAGTGATGATCAATCATATGTCTTCTTAAGGTCAATAAAAAACACACAAAGAACCTTTCTTTACTCTTTATACTTCTCCATTAATTTTTTTTAAACACAAAAAATTACTTCCATAGTAGATTTTATCCCAATTGAAAAGTTTTTACAACGTTTCGGGTCTATTGAATTAATTTCAAAATAGAAATGAGCATCATACCAAAGGGAACCAAGTGTAGTTTCCCTTGATTAATATGCAGAATTCTTAGTCTACTATTTCAACAGCATAAAGGTAACATGAAAAGGACAAAGTTGAGTAAAACTAACATAATTTCTTACAAGGATAAGATATTTATCAAGAACCAATTAATTTAAGCTAAATTGGATAAAATAAAAGCAAGAAGGTAACCACTCCAGCACTAATGAAAGCTTATGAAGATGGGGATTTGAACACTTTTATTTTGGATTTAAATATTGTTCGCTCAAGAAAAATAGAAAGGCGTGAACCTTGCTCTCGCAAGCTTAAAATTCCTTATTTTTCCCTGAGATAGATTAGATTTAAAATTGACCAGATTTCCCCTGAGAGTGGTGCCAAGGTTTATTTAGATTTGGATTCTACTTCCTATGAATGTAATTCCTCATGGTTAATTACTTCTCCTAACGCATTAGAAGAGTACTCTCGATTAAGAAAGAAACATATTTTGTTTGTGCAAGGAGTGTGAAAATGTGCAACAGTGTTTTAATCTTAGTTATGGGCGGTGAAAGTACACTCGATTAAGATCCCATGATTCTGTCATCCCCGGTATACCGTGGGTTTCAGTCTACCAACACTAACTGTCATGGATTTCAATGTCCAAGAAATCTGATTAGCAACCATGGGTTACCTCCTCTCAGGGATCCCGAGTAAACTGAAGTGGAGAAATGTGGCTTTTAATTTAGATTGAGACTTATGGCTTGCTTAAGAGATGCTCGTGTGATTAAATTTAGGTAGGGGCTTATGGCTTTCATTTGAAAGTAGCCCTAATAGTGGATCTTACAACCTCTATTAGAGGTGGCCCAAATTACGGGTCTTATAACTTAGCTTTATAGACTAAGATGCCCAGGAGGTTTGGATATTTAAATAGGTCTTATGACTCTTAGATTTAGAAGTGGCCTAATGACGGGTCTTACAACCTAGATAAGCTAAGTGGCATGTATTATAGGTCTTATAACCTATCCCTATAGGCCATAATGCCCGTGTTAGGTGTCTAGGGTTATGTAATTACCTAAACATTTCCCTCAGAAGTCGGACTTACAACCTAGCCCTTATTATTTAATTACTTAAATTGATTTAATTGTTTAATAAAAAATTAAAATGAAATACTCCACTAATTTGATTGATTTTTTTAAAAGGTGTTAATTAAGAGATTCTCGTTTCAATTGGTTAAGTTAATTGGTTAATCAATTAAAGTTTTGATTCAATTAATTTTTAATTATTGAATTTTCATTTCAATTAATTAGACTAATTTGTTGTTAAATTAAAAGAATAGTTATTCAATTATCCAATTAGAACTTAACAAGTTAATTATAGTTTGATTTTATTTACTTATTTAGATTAACTATTTAGTTAAATTATATATAAGATTAATTAATTAAAGTTTAATTTTAATTAATCAAAAGATTTAAATTTAAATGGTTTAATAATTTTTTTAATGGTTTAATTAAATTAGGTTTTAAGTTGAATATTTCCTTATACTTAAAGTTAAATTGATAAATTAAGCATTTTCCAATAATCCAACAACATTTGATATTTTTGGGAAAATTTTGGCAATCTCCCGACGTCCCCTCCCTACGAACGGATGTAGCGGAGAGCATTTACCCTTGTAATCCGCCCAGCAAGAAAGATAATCAACCGCCAATGACTTCAAGACGTTATCGGGTCCCGAAAATTATCTTCAAGTCTTCGGTTGGGGTTAGAGACGGACGGGCAAGTGGGCTCGACTCCTGGTTTGATCTGCTTGTGCTCGTGTGAAGGAGGCCAGCGGTTTTCCGATCTCGCTTGCGTGGGGGAAGTCGCCGACAGAAGAACTATTTGCTTGGTCAAATCGGGTGCATAGGGAGGCAAAACCGTTTGTGCACAAGGGTAAGATTCAGACTAAAGACCTCAGGAAGGAGGAATCGCAAGAGCAAAGCGTCGATCTCCAGTTGCAAGTGAACGTAAACTCTATTTCCCCGTTCTCTTGTTGTTTTATACAGTTCTTTTCTTCGTAATCGTGCTAAGCGATGTGACAACATGGTTGGTTTCTGGCCCGTGAATAAGTGGGGGGCGATTAAGTTGTTTGTTTGACATTTTACAGGTTAACATATATGCACAGCTGTGAGGAAGAAATCTACCAACATTTGACACAAAATCCTTGATGGACTCCTAGCTTCCTATGGCAAATGTGAAGATCTATTTGGCGGTTACTGACAATTCTTACATGGAAAGTGCAAGGAAATATGAAATTTTGTTCTTCATAAAAAAATTTCATGTTAAGAATTTCATATAATGATCAATGATTTGGACTTGAGATCATGATCCACATATACCTAAGACTACTATATTCAAAATCATTTATATTTGAAAATTTGCAATTCTAGAATGCACATAGAAGACATGAAGATTTGCCAGATGTGCAGTGTCATTGTATTCGAGGAGTCAAGGATTTTATGGGAATTGCGGATCGCAGAAGAGGTGGATCTAAATATGGTGCAAAAAGACCCAAATCGAAATCAATGGAAGATACCTCTAGAATGTCTATTGGTTGAAGGCAAGCTATCGTCTATCGCTTTTTTCCATGCAATGGAGGCTCTTGCTTCCCCCGGATAGGAATTTCCGGCGAGCAAGCTTTCCTCTCATTTTGCTCTAGCCTATATCTCCTCTCCTTCACAATTGAGCATAGCAATCACATTACTTTCTCATGAAAATTTGAATTGGCTGTGAGTCATGCTATATAATCTGGATTTGTATATTGATTTTTCCATCTAGGGATTGACTCCATTCGGAAAAATGATAAGGAATATATTATAAGCATTCGTGAGCAAAAGATTAATTTACTAAGAGATTCTGAGGGAAATAAAAAAACTTCATCAGACATGGTGAGAAGTTCATAGTACATCTGACGAATAAGATCAAACAGCCCGAATACATAGCCATGAGATTGTCTAAATTAATTGGTAAACAAACCCCCCAAAAAAAACCACGCTTATTAGCGGGCAGCAGCATACCAGTATCTTCATTATCGCAGTAAATTACAAGCTAACTGATTTACCATACCCGATATTTAAAGCCAAATTTTTGTGCCTTGCCAGAACTTGAAAAATTAATTTAAATAAACCAACTCTTAAAATTTAAGCAAATCAAATAAAGCACTTTAAAAATTTCTGTTATATCCAATAAAAGCAAAATACACATTGATAAGGGTAAAAGTTGCAAACTAAACAGATTAATCTGTACTCGCATCCACCTAAAAAAGATATATAACCCGAAAGCAGAAAAAAGATATTAAATGTCAATTCTGAAGGAAATAAAGTACCAAGAAAAAATAAACTTGAAGACATGGAATAAATACATCATTACTAACAAATTGTTGTGTCATTTGATAATGGATGGAAAAAGCAGCACTCCTGAGCTTTAAATGCTTGATCCAACAGCAGTGAAACAGCTCTTCAGCAAAAAAAAAGAAAGAATCAATAAGATTTTCATAAAAAAAAAAAAAACATAAATGCAAATATATCACGCATTCTAATTGGAGAAAATTCATCCAGTTAGAAGTATGTAGAAAAAAATACAGCAAGTAGTTCGATACTTGGGCCATGCGTGGATTTGTTTTGTGTTCATTTGTTTTTGCTTTGTTTTGTGCTCATTCCACTTTTGTTTTGGTCTCTTTTCAATTTAAAAAAAAAAAAATCATCTTTGGATGGTTTTAGTCGTTTTCCTGACAACTCTGAGAAAATACAGTCTACTGGGCAATAGAAACAGAAAAACATAATAAACCTCTATTAAATTAGCATATTAAGTTTATCTAATGATAATTAGTCCTATGTAAGAAGTTATACACTAACTACCCTAATTAAACCCTCCTTAGTCTAAGTAAATAATTGAACAAATTATTTTAGATAGGTAATCAATCAATAAATCACCCCAAACTCATTTACCATAATTAAACACCAACAGACCTTAATTAATCCCTAATTAGCATAAAAATAATTAGTTAACAAATATTCTGATTGATTCATCAATTAATTGATTTTCCTAAGATACTATAATTAAATGCGATAAAAACTTTATTGGTCTTGATTAAAACCCTAATCATCCTCAATAATTAATTATCCAAGCCTAGTTATCATCATTAAATGGTAACAAACTTTAATTAAAATAATAACTAATCTCCCTAGCATAAAATTTGTCGAACAATCATGACAATAACTAATCTCAAATTAACCCTAAGTAATTACCCATTATTTCATCAATAAATTAGTTGATATCATAATTAAAAATTAACAAAATGTTACTGATTTTAATTTAAACCTAAACTAGCCTTTATAATAAGTAGATTGCCCATTGTGGGAAGTATAAGCTTCAACCTTAGAGCTTGAATTAGAAGCAAATTTCAAAGGTTATACTTCGGTAAAATGTTCATAATATAGTATGAGTACAGAATCCAAGTTAGTAATATCATAAACAGCAACACAAGGAGGAATAAAAGGCCTACATCCCTATCATTTTAGATTTTAATTATAGCGGAGAGGTGCCAATAAGAAAGGGGAGAAACCATAAGAACTGGGGAAGAAAAGGTCTAAGGGCATTAGTTCCAGCCATCGGACCACACATATTAGAAAGCTATGAAATATCTTAATCAATTGTGTCAAGCTTGAACCTCTGTTGTCAAAAAATTCAGGGAAACAGAAGTCAACACTTACAGCATATTGCTTAATCTAAATGCCTATCGTGTGACATTACTTAAAGATCATCCCCTTAAACTACACTGGTATTCATTGTGAAGAAATCGGTTATAGTCAAAAAATGAATGCCAATGTGATCATGGATAGATATGCATACCTTGCAGAATCATTAATCAATGCGAATGGAGTAACACATCCCAGCGGTACCTAAAAAAAAAAAGTTCAGAAAAGAATGATAATGTAAAAAAGAGGAAATAATGATAGCATAACTAACTGAATTCTATAGTAAGTCCTTTATAAACTTAAAATAAGAATCTGGAACACGCTATCCTTACACAAAAATAATATGGAAGAAAATAAATTGCCACGGATATGACAGATATAATTTTTGCTAATCTACTATAGGTAATACGCAAGGTTTAAAATTGCGTAAATAAGCCTCGAGGCGTTTTTCGTCCGTGAGGCGAGGCGTAAACCTCGAGGCGGCATGAGGCATAAGCCTCACGGACGAAGAATTACGTAAATGATAATTTAAGTATTCTAGCAGATAAATAGCAATAAGAGTCTATGATACAATAAAAATATCCAAAAGAGAATTGAACTTAGTGGAAAACAAAAAAATAGATGCAATATATGTATCTCATAGCATAATTCAAAGTACAAAACTACAAATTAAAGTCTATCAGAACTCCCAAAGTACACATAAGAAAAAATATCTAAAATCCAATCATGTCCCATCACTACATGAGTCTTCAGTGGATGTATCTTCATCTCCAATTGTATCTATGAATGTCAAATCTTCATTATCTTCAATGTTACCCACTTATCTCTTAGGGTCCGTTTGGGATGGCTTTTTCACTACTTTATATTTCATATCCATGCCAGTCGTTGTTTCGCTATTGCTTATTTTGCTGCCTTTTTTAAAATATTGGTGGTGTGAAACAATTTCTTATAATCAAATATATTAGAATACGATAGCTATAAAAAAAGCCTTGCATTTGATTTTTTTTCAAAAGAAAAAGTTATAATGCCCACATTAACTTGCAAAAAAAGAATTATCAACCTAATATATGTATTTTGAAAAATCAATATACTTTATGAAGATATGCTTGCAAATTCCTTTTGAGTTTTTTTTTTTTTTTTAAATCCTCTCCCCCCCCCCCCACCTTTTTTTTTTTAAATCCCCAAACACCTCCACTATCCTCTCAAGCAAGCCCCAAAAACAATGGTTAGATTGCTTGTATTGTGACTTTGATGTGAAATTGCATGCATCAATGTCTTCTTAAATCCCATAATAACTGATGATTCATGCAATGAGCAGTCTTTTAGGAGCTTGCAACCTTCTTCTTCACCTTGGTCTAACCCTCAAATTATATTTTTCTTGCAGTGATCTTATGGGCATGAGAAAGAACATGTCATTACCTGCCTCCCCCTGTTCGAGCCATCGACACCAGCATATATAGTATGTTTCATGAGGCGTATGCCTCACTAAAAATTGCGCAACTGCGCCTCTGAGGCGTGCCTCAAGTTCCATGAGGCGTAAGCCTCACCAAGTTCCAAAATTGCTTAAGCAATGAGGCTCTTGGGGGGCAAATTGCGCAAAGGCGCGCCTCTTATTGCGCAATTTTAAACAATGGTAATACGTTTAGCAATAGGTGAATGATCATAACTTAAACATCAGATTTAAGGGCATTCCTACCTGCTTTTCTAGCTTAGAAAATATATTTGAGCTGCAAATTATCCGTTTTTTTTTTTCTAAGATAAGAGTGGAACATCACCACTCTTTAGTCATATAAATCATAAGAATTGCTGTGCCTAGGTTTCATAGCCATGACCTATTGCGTGGCAATTCTACAATTAAACCACCATGCTCTATAAACAACAACAACAATAGTATAGTGACGTTAGCATTTCAAAAAAAAAATCCTTCTAATTTGTCTACACTTCAAGAAACTGCAGATTTAATCCATGCTCCTATAAAAGTAAGATTCCAAAAGCACCTAGGAAGTTAGTATGTGATAGGAAGTGCTTGTAGAAACAAATGAACCCTTGGCTGAGTTTTAATTTCAGCAATTCCAAAATGCAAACAACAAAAACAACTATGAGAAATAACGAGAAAGAACCTTTTTAATTGATGATATATGGAAGAAAACAAACAAGATAAAATGGATCTTCAATTGGAGAGAAAGATTCGGCTCTCCCAAATCCCTAGAAGCCGGCTAGAGCCCACTCAACCTAAGAACAATCTCAATTCAGCCAACACAACATAATCCAACCCTAGGTTTAACAAAACTACTTAAAGCATACGATTCCAGCAAATTACCCAAAACAGCCCTCCCAATTTGAATTTCCCTCCTACTTGCCCCCTCCACCCTTTGCATTAATCCCTGGGCCCCACCCCAAGGTGGGGCAGACGGTTGCTAAGGCAAACCAGGCTTTTCTTGGAATACAACATGGTCTGTCCAGGGTGGACTGGCCCAACAGTGACCGGTCTAAGAGGGACCAATCTATAAATACTCCCCCCCCCCCCCCCCCCGGCGCATCCCAAAAGACCCACCTTGTCCTCAAGGTGGAAAGAAAAAAAACACTACTTCACCCACTCATATGACTCCCATGTGGCGACGTAGTCGAATAAGTTCTTCCATTTATCAGTACTTCCTTGATTCCTTCCTCTCCCAGTCGTACCTTTTTTACAACACCACATCCAAATCATCTGTCAGTGTCACGGGTAACTCAGAACTGGATGCATGACATCAATAGCTCTCCTCAACTTTGACACATGGAACACTAAGTGTATGGTAGCGGTCGTGGGTAACCCAATCGTTAAGCCACTACTCTAATCTTCTCCAATATCTCATAAGGGCCAAAGTATCTCAAGGCCAGCTTATCATTCCTCCTATTAGCTACCGTCATTTGTCTATAGAGATGAAGCATCAAGCATACCCTATCCCCTATCTCAAATTGGATGTTCTTCCTGCGTCCATCCGCCTGCTTCTTCATGATTTGTTGAACTCTCAACAAATGCCTTTTTAATTCATCCAACACCTTATCCCTCTCCTCCAAGTACTGCTCTATTGAAGAGACTGGTATGCTAATCTACCCAAAGTGCACCAAGTGAGGTTAGTCCCTTCCATTTGAAAGGAGTCATCTGGGAAGCTGAATTGTGTGAAGTGTAGTATTAGGGGATGCTTTATAAAGTCTGAAAAATATCGATCGTATGCATCGCACACATTTTAATGCTTCATGATGAAATTGGCAAAATTTTAAAGTCATCAAAATTCGATGCAAATAATTTTATTAAATTATACACAAAATTTCGATCGAAATGATATAAAGAATCTATACCTAATTTCGCATGAATTTAAAATTAAAAAATCGTTGAAGTTAACTTAAGTAATATTTAGCCTTTATGACCAAATTATCGTCATGATCCTTAAGAAACTAGTAGGACCAAGGGTACATGAGTAATTAGGCATTTAATTCATTCCCTTAAACCCTCCTATGCCTAAGGGACCGAAATCATTCGATCCCTTATTCGTTCGGCCACTCGCGTAAAAGGGAGAAGGCGTCGGGTGCAAGGGGGAAACGACGGCAATGGCAGGATTTCCAGCGAGTTCTTAGGAAGAAAGTGAAGGAAAATAGCCAAGGAAGAAGGAGGTAAGCTTCTATTACAAAGAAAATCTCTTTTTCCCTTAGATTTCCTTAGGTTAAAATTTTAGGGTTTGCTCAAATCTTAAGGTTTTCAAATAAGAATGATAGGGAAGGATAAGAGCATGATTTTAACCATTTAAAATGTAATTTTGCTCAAGAAAATCTTATGTTTCCAAATTAGGGTTTTATGAAAATGTAATTTTCTCTTAAGAATATTGTTAGTAAAGGTTTAAAAATGCTTTGTAATGAAGAAATTTGATTTTTCTCTATTTTTTTTTAGTTTTAAAAATTAGTATTTTTCCTAATTTTAAGATTTTGTGATAAGTTGTTAACAAATGTTGTTCCTATGAGTCTTGTGAAGACTCTAATTATCAGAAAATAAGACTTTCATAAAAAAAAAATTATTTTCCTAATTTTTAAAATTTATTAATCCAAAAAATAATTAGGTTTAATTATAATATAGGTTAGGAAAAATGTTTTAAAATGTAATTGGAATAAAATATGTAAAATTTAGGTACCTAAAATTTGGGATTTTAATTAAAACCGAAATTGTATGTTAAAATTTCATTAATTACTTAGATAGAGTAATTTGGAAGGGAAGATATAGAAGGAAATTATTAAATAAGAATATTGGAAGGAGAATTTCATGTATATTAATTTAAGCATTTATTTTCCTTAGGTTTTAAACCTAAGAAGAGGTTGGTTGAAGGAGGTTTGCAAAGTACTTAGGGTAAGTGACAAATTACATTCTAAGTTTCATATTTTTTCTCTTTTATGTATGTTTATGTTGCATTTATTCTTTTAAGAGGTTAATTGTTTTGTCTTGCATATGGTCATAATTGTAATTATGTTGCATTAATCCTTAAGATGTTATTTGTCTTGAGTTGCATATGGATGTTTATGTTGCATTGTTTTTTTTTAAAGCTTAATTGTCTTAATTGCATATGGTCTTAAGTGTTTTAAGATGTTAATGGTATTGTGTTACATATGGCTTTAGTTTCCATTAAGCAACTTATGGCCTTAGCTTTTCTTCATATATAACATTGCATATTTAAATAAAAAACTCTTCATATGTACAAAAGTTCATTTTCATACTTAATCAAATTCATTTAGTTGATCGAACATATGTATGGTTGATATGTTAAATCATCTTCTGTTATGATATCAAAATGATATGCAAGTTTGTGCATGTTGAGGCAGAGTACCAATACGGTGCACTTGCACAATACGGTTCTTCGGGGCAAAATAATGATGAATGGTAAAATATGAAATTATACTTGATCAGTACAATATGAGTACTCCGGTACGGATGTTTACATATACATGATATATATAGTGCAAAGCAAAGTAAGGAAGTTTAGAAGTTTATATCCTTTAAAAACATTCATTTCATAAATGTTCTTTAGATAAAAATAAGTCTATTTTAGCATGCATATTGATTTCTCTATATTGCATATGAGTTTAGTAGATGTAATTGTTACTTGCTGAGCTTTAACTCATTCTCTAGTTTTGAGATACTTTTCAGGAGACCCTGTTGTTAGGTGATGGCTGAGCGACCCTAGTTTACATACAATCGTAGAGGACCGAAGGAAAAGTTTCTTATATTTTAGTTTGATGTGATTTTGTTGGTGGATGTTGATATGTAAAAACATTTTATCCACCTTTGTATATCTTTGACTTATTATACGAAAAGTTTTGATAATTGAAAGTTGTTTTTAGAGGCACTGATTATTTATTGAATTATTTTAGATTCACATGTTTCATATTTTAATGTTATTGAAAATATATTGTTTTAACTTTTAAGTCTGACATTCGTTCCCGTCTCGTCTATGCGAGCTCACCGGACCGAGTCGTAACATGCTCTTTAAGTAAAAACTAAAAAATTTGCAGCTTTGGGCAGCTATCTCTCCTCAGAAGAAGCTAACATTCTTCAGTTGCTCTGTCAGTGGCCATGTTATGGTGTTGTATCACCTCACAAAACTCTTGTAGTACCCAATAAACCATAAGAAACCCCTCAAATTCCTAGGTAGCGGCCATTTCAGCATTACCTCAATCTTGGCTTGATTAGTGGCCATCATCTCTTAAGATACCACGTGCCCCAAGTACTCTACACTGGGCTGTACAAAACAACACTTCTTCAGATTGACCCTTAGTTGATGATCATGTAACACCTCTAATACCACCTCAAGATTTTCAAATGCTCCTCACCGAACCTGCTGTACACCAACATGTCATCAAAGAAAACCAGTACAAATGTCTTGAGGTATTGTCGAAACATCTTGTTCATGAGGGATTGGAATCTAGCAAGGGCTTGGTGAGGCCAAACGACATCACCAAGTACTTGTAGTGTCCCTCATGTTTCCAAAATGCCATTTTCAGGGCATTCACCTCTCTCATCCTGATTTGATGGTACCCAGACTTCAAATCCATCTTAGTAAATACCACCGCTCCACAAAGCTCATCCAGAACTAATCTATTACTAGAATAGAAAACTTGTCTAACACAATCTCCTTATTTAGGGCTTGATAGTCCATAAAGAATCTATAGCTCACATCCTTCTTCTTAATAAGTAAAGATTGGGCTAGAAAAAAGGACTAACGCTTGGCTTGATGACCCCTGCCTCCAACATCTCCTGAATCAGCTTCTCAATCTCATACTTCTGGATCTGAGGGTAGCGATAAGGCTTGACACTTATTAGTGAAACACCCTCCCTTAGAGTGATGGCGTGCTCCTTCTACCTCAATTGTGGAAATCCTTGAGGTGGCTGAAAGACCTCATTGAACTGCTATATTAGCGGTTGTACTGAAAAAGTGATGTCTCTCCCCTCTAAGCTCTGTAGCACTATCAGAAATCCTCCTCACACCTCCTGTATAGTCCTCATCATGATTTTGGGACAACCATAGCCTTAGATAACCCTGCATCTCCCCTGATCACCACCCTTCTTCCCTGCACCACAAGCTCCATCATTAGTGCTCCCCAATTAATCTTGATATCCCCCAAAGTCTGTAGTCATTTCATCCCCATGATGACATCAGTGCTCCTTAACTCAAATGGAAGGAAGTCCTCCCTCACCTGGACCTCCTGTATGGTCAGAATCACCCGCTACTTGTCTCCACCTTCCTTGTGCACATTATCACTCCATAGCATCCCATGTCCACCAATTTCACCTCCAATTGATTTACGATCTGGTTGGAGATAAAATTATGTGTAGCCCTACTGTTTATCAACACCACCACCTTCTTGTCAGTTATTTCTCCTCTTTCATGGTGTGATTTGTAGTGAATCCAATCACTGAGTTCAAGGAAACTTCTGTCATGTCTAAATGTAGTTTTTCCTCCTCTACTAATGCCTCACTCCTACCTCCCTCAGCTTCTTTGTCATTACAGACGATGAAAATTTGAAGAGTTCAATCTTTACATCTATGCCCCAGTGTATACCTCTCATCACATTTGAAACAGTCCCTTCGTCCTCTTCTCTTGTAGCTCCTGCTCAGCGAGCTTCCTGAAATTTTCCTCGATTCCCGCTCCAACAAGCTTCTCCTTTGGGGTCTCTCGAAGGATACACATAGTCAACCCCTTGGGCGCTAAAAAGGTGGTGATCATCTTGTACGAGTCTTATGAACTGCTATATATAGCCCCCTCTCCAAGTGATTTTGATCCTCCACGAACTGGGCTAACTCCATAGCCACTACCAAATCACGAGGCATCATCGCTCTAACTATCACTCGGATCTCTAATTTGAGCCCTTTCATGAAGTTTTCCTCTAGTACAGTCTTAGAAAGTCGGTCCAGTCAGGTAGCAAGGTACTCAAACCTCTCACGATATTCAACTACTGATACTTCCTGCATTAAAGCGAAGAACTGCTCATAAAATCCCTCTCCCCTGTTGGTTCGAAAACATTCCAACAAGCAGTCTGAACTCCCTCCAACTCCATATGGGCCGCCTCATGTCTCTCCACTGGTACCATGTCAATGCCTTTTCCTCCAAACATAGGTCAGTTACCGTCAGCCTCTCCTCCTTCATTAACCCATTGACGGCAAAATACTTCTCCACCTTATAAATCCACCCATGTGCATCATCTCCCTCAAAAATAGGCATCTTCAATTTCCTCACCCTCCAATCTCCTATGTTCCCCCTAATTCCTCCATAACCTCTCATTCCCTGATTCCCCAAGTGGATGGTCCTCCCCAAGTGTCCCGATCATCTCTTCCACGCTCGTACCCAAACCCTTCTTCAAAATCTTCCTTTCTCCTTTAAAATTCAACACCCCTTTTCTCATAATCAGTCATTCTCCTTTCACAATCGACACTACTTCGCTCAAAATCACCCTCTCTTTTTCAGAATCAACATTCCTTCGCTCATAATCAGCCCCTCTTCTTTCAAAATCAAAACCCCTTCGCCCATACCCACTACCTGTCTCCTCCCTAGGAATATGCTCGCTCTAGGGGAGGCATTCCCTTTTACCCACTCCCTTGACCATTGGTGGCTCCCTTCGCCTCCGACAATACCGTTTTGGTTTGGGCCTCAATTATCTTCCTCATCATTTCTTCCATGATGGCAAACTTCCCATCAATCTTCTCATGGATGGATGACACTTGATTTTCGAAATATGAAATCTTTTCTATAAAATCGGATTTCAATTATTCGATCCCTCTATCCAATACTTTTACCTTTCTTCCCGCCACAAGTACCTGGATCTATACTTTGATACCAATTTGAGAGGAATTGCTTGTAGAAACAAATAAACCCATGGCTGAATTTTAATTTCAGCAATTCCAAAAAGCAAACAACAAGAAGAACTATGAGGAATAACAAGAGAGAACCTTTTTAATTAATGATATATGAAAAAAACAAACAATATACAATGGATCTTCAATTGGAGAGAAAGATCCGACTCTCCCAAACCCCAAGCTGTCCGCTAGCCCACTCAACCTAAGAACAATCTCACTTCAGCCAACACAACATAATCCAACCATAGGTTTAAACAACATAATCCAACACTAGGTTTAATAAAACTACTTAAAGCATACAATTTCCAGCAAAATACCCAAAACAATCCTCCCAATTTACAATTTTCCCTCCTACCCGCACCCTCCTCCCTTTGCATTAATCCCTAAGCCACACCCCAAGGGAGGGGTTGCTGAGGTGGATTAGGCTTCCTCCTGGAATACACAATGGCCGGTCCAAGGTGGATTGGCCCAACAGTGATCAGTCTAGGAGGGACTGGTCTATCAGTTTGCTCATCATTTTCCAACTATGTCCCCTTAAACTCATATAACTAAACCAACTATTGGCAAAATAATGGACCTTTGATTTCATACCATTTCTTTTTTTTTTTAATTCTCAAATTTTTTTCCTTTCAAAAAATCATTTCCTAACTTTGAAAATTTCTGTTATGAAATGAGTACAAAGTTGACGGTAAATGAAAAAAAGGCTGAAAATAGAAGGCCACAAGAATAACAATTAACAAGTCATTCAAAGGATATCCATTCTTAAAACTTTCTATCAAATGGATTCCAAACTCTCACAGTTGATCAAGTTAACTACAAAGTAGATTAGAACAAAATCTTAGAACAGTTGAGTATTATATTAGGTTCCTAATATTATGTATGTAAGAGATTATAGAAAAAAACTAAAAAGGCAAGCAGAATTTTCCATTTCTTCTATCGAAAAGAAATAAGACCCAACTGAGTGCTAGGGAAAGGGGATAAAAAATATTTAATCCACCATTGTTTGCTCTAAACTTATTCCACTCCATGCAACATATAGGTTCGGAAAAATTTTTATCATTCCTTTCCGTTTCAAGCAGCTTATCAAATTATACCATTCCAAGTAATTATGACATATAAATAACAGTTCAATAGAGAGTATCAAGCTAAAGCCAAAATGGACTTAAACATGAACCTGAAGTATTTCCTGCAAAGCTTCTTCAGGAGCCATTCTTAAGCCTCCTTTCCCTAGGCCAAGGCGCTGGGACATAACTGCTCAAATAAGGGGATAACGGCATATCCAAAAATCAAAATAATAATTAATTCATATGCCCTCTATATATCAGCACAAAGCGTTTAAAAAATAAATAAATAAAAAACAAACCTTTTAGATCAACATTAGTTCCTGCCAAAGCTGAGATTACATAGTATCTGTGTTTCTTGTCCTATAAAATAAGCAGCTCAAATTCATGCAAAGGAATACAGAAGCTAAGGAGTAGGATATAATTGATAAGATTTTAACATAGAAGATAATTTCTGAGACCTATTTACCTTTAACAGCAAGTTCTTGCTGAGACTACCTCTCAAGTATCCAACATATTTAGCCTTAAAAAAATAGTTATTAATGTAAGCATTAAGTCTGAGCCCTCGGCATAATATAGAATGCATCAGTTTTGGTTATACTGACCTGTGCTTCAACTGTCAATACAACAGGATGCTCATAGGTGGCAAAGTCAATTTGTAGTTTCTGTACATGCAAAAATACAACACAACGAGTAAACATTATAGGACATTCAAAGAAAACATTACTTGGAAAAACATATTTGCAGCGTATGCTGACAAAGTTCATCAAAACGGTTATGCTATGAACCAAAAATGGATCTCCAAAATGAGAAATAATTTTAAAAAATCTACAAGGGGACTTTCTTGCTTCTTGTGTTCACAACTCATTTGGCCCAAATGAAAGAGATTGGCCTCATACACAAATCAACTTTGGATATAAGAATAATATGTGTATATATATAAAATCCCAAAATAGTCCCCAAACTATTTGTGTGTGGCCAATTTACTTCCAAAGTATCACACTACTCCAATTTAATTCCTTGACTATTCAAAATCGATCTAAAATAATCCATCATATTATAATTGTAATAAAAAAATATTATAATTGTATTAAAATTAATCTTAATTCAATTCCAAAGGGACACATTTGTATCAACATTGTATAGTTCAAAGACCTATATTGTAGCAACACGAAGCATTACTCCTAAATATTCCCTAGGTCACCATCACAAGTTGCTCGATACAGGGCATGTACAACTATTCAGCATATAGTGATGGCAGTGTGAATCTCATTCATATTCAAGTCTTTTGAATAGAAAAAACTATTAGCTTGTTTAATAACTTAAGGAGGATCACTTAAGTAGTTCCTTCAAAAGGACAAAAAAAATTTTTTTAATGTAAATTATAGGACTAATGATGTAGGATGTCTCAAGGTTTAGAGCTCCTAAAGCTATTTAAAATGAGATGTGCTAAATCATGCAATGTACACACAAAATCTTGCAAGTCTCAAATTCCTAATTTTCACAATGACTTGTTGCCTTCAAAGAAAATAAAAGATGTAACAAGAAGATGAAAATAAAAAACGTGACGAGAATCAATGCAGTTGATAACTCAATAGCTTTTTTACTAAAAATAATGCTATAACTTTATAACTATGAAAAATCAAGAAGGATCAACCTCAAAGTTAGTCTCAAAGTCTGTAAGTTCTGCATGATAAGCCAGAAGAATCCCCTTGCATACTAGACACGTCATAGTATACCTAATACAATCCACAAGAAGACTACCAAACACTTGCATGAAGCTCCCACTAAGATCCTACAATCCTTCAAAATTCACACACTAGATGCTTGGCCACGAAGAAATTGAAAGAGAGGAAGAAAATATAGGAGAGAGAAAATGTCTTTGGATTATATTTGTCAGTCATTTATGTTACAGATTTTGTTCTATTCATTATAAGTCACTAATCTCTTACTTTTGTTTTCAATGATTTTGATTTTTATGGATTTTATCTCTCCTAAGTCTGCCAAAAATGCATTATCTCCTGATTTTATAAGCTTTCAACGTGCAAATTTGGATATGTTATATATTTGATTATTCTGAATGATTTGATATTATTTTATTGCATTTTAAATGAAGTACTGAATGATATCAAATACATGATATGATAACTCCACGTAATACCCTATGAACCAACGTGATTCACTGATTGAGAGTTATAAAGAGCTGGAGATTGATTGGGAGTCATAAGGAGTCAGGACGACTAATTCATGCGACTCAAGTGAAGTTATAAGGAGTGCATTGATTAGGAGTTATAAGGGGCGACTGATTATGAGTCACAAGTGCATGAGCAAGACACTCTTAAGATACACTTATTGAATATCTGAATACTGATATTGACACTGCAATAAACACTGTACTGATATTGTGACTGATACTAATAGTGTTCATTATCATTAACTATTTAACGTTATTGATCATAATACTAATATTGTTACTCGCATTAGTGATATTAATTGTTAATATGATTGATGATATAATGGATTAAGATGTGATGAACTATAAAAGGATAAATTGATGCGGATAAACAGTATAGGCATTGATGCATATATTTCTTTATATGATTTATAGCATATTGTTCTCTTTTATCTTACACTCATTTCAATTGTAAGATTTTCGTTATTGGGTGGGCTATGTGCTCATTACGTGGTTTTACATATTTTCAGGAAAGGGTAAAGATCCTATGATATAAGGCTCCGAACAAGACAAAAATGTAATCATGTTTTTTTTTTTCGTTGTTTATTGGTAAGCTCTAGTTAAATGATTAAAATGAAAAATAGATGTAATTCTTCCAATATAGATCCTGGAGTATGGCAATCAGTTTATCCAACTTGAAAAAATTGGATACGGTGAATTATTTAATTAATATGTATTTGGACATATAGAAATATCTATAAATCATTAGAAGTAAGTTTGCATCAAAGTGATAGGAAGTGGATGTAATTTTAGCAACATCAGAGAATGACACAAGAAATTCAAGAAGAAGAACACACAATAACTCTTTTTTTTAACGACCTAAGAAGAAAAACACAAGATACAGTTGGATCTTCAATTGGAGAGGAAGATCCGGCTCTCCCAAATCCCTAGCCATCCGCTAGAGCCCATTCAACCTAACCAAAAGTAATTCCAACAAAATCAGCAAAAAAAGTGCTCAGATACCAATTTGATAAGAAGTGCTTGTGAAAATCAAACAACCCTTGGCTGAAATTTTAATTTCAGCACTCCCAAACTCAATCCACAGAAGAAAAATCAAAGAAAACTCTTTTTAATTGATGATAGATGGAAGGAACAACAAGATACAATGGATCCTCAATTGGAGAAGAGGATCCGGCTCTCCCAACTCCCTAACCGTCGACTAGAGCCCAAAGAACCCTAATAACATTACAATTCTCTCCCAAATCAACCCCCTTTCCCTAAATAATTCACTCTCATATTTAAATTCAAATCAGATCTCTTGCCCTAAATAATTCCCTCCAAATTGTAATTAAAATTTTCCTAAACAATTCCATATTGATTCCTCCTCCCTTTCCCTAAATATCTCCCTCTTATATTTAAATTAAAATCAAATCTTTTGTCCTAAATAATTTACTCCCATTGTAATTAAAACTTTCCTAAACAATTCTTCTTTGATTAAGAACCTACCTAAAGAACTCCCTCTTGATTTGAAAACTTCCTAATTCCCTCCCAATGAAATCAACCAGTCCATCAATACTCCCCTCCCAAAGTTTCACCTTGTCCTCAAGGTAGAACGAATAAAACTACTATTGAAGCACTAGACTAGTAGCATTGGACTGAAAAATGAACAGCCACTAAGTCGAATGATCCTTGCCACCAACATCTCCCTGTTCAATCTCTCTATCTCATCCTTCTGGAGTTTGGGAGAATGGTATGGACGAACACTGATATCTAAGACTCATTCCTTCAAAATGATAGTATGCTCGTGTTCCCACAGAGGAGGTAACCCATGAATTGGTTGGAACACCTCTCAATAATGTTGTAGGAGTTGTTGAATCATTTATGGTGCTTTTATCTTCTTCCCATCTTCTTCTCCTTACAAACTCTACAGCTCAATAAAAAATTCCACTCCTTCACCCTTTCCCCTCCTTGGAAGTGGCTCCAAAGGTGGCATCTCCTCTTCTTCCCCCAAAATTTCCACCTCCCCATCCTCCCTGATTGTAGTTATATTAGGGTTTCCCCCACTTCCTTATCCAATCAATGGTTCCCTTGCTTCTAATGTTGTCGGCTGAGTTTGAAGCTCCAATGCTTTCTTCATCATGTCCTCTAGTTTAGAAAATCTTCCTTTCAAGGAAGAAAGCCTTACTTTGATGGTTGAGAACTTCTCAACCAACCCGGATTTGATTTCTTCCACTTTGCCTTCCAACACATCCACCTTCTTTGCTGTCATAGGTCCCAAAAAAGTACTATGGTACCAATTTGATAAAACTTGAGCACCAAAAATCAGCGAACAAATGATAAAATTCAGCAAACCAACATATTTTTATTGATAAGACAAGAAAAATGAACAAACAAGATACAATGACTTTTTTTCGAAAAGATCTTCTCTCCCCAAACTTTGGACACTGCTAGAATCCCTCATAAAAAACTGTGGAGGGCAAACACTCACAAAATTCTACACACAAAAACATCTCCTAACCCTAGGGTAAATCAATTATTTAAAGCAACAATAAACAGTAAAATATCAAAACAGTCATCCCATAATTTCCTTTCAAATTATACTCAAATCTGTCATATTTACTTAATTATTTTCCTCTCAAATCAGCTCCAAAATCTATCTTCTTCAATTAGAAAATATTTCTTAATTAATCTGCTCCCAAATCAACCCTCAAATTTGTCCTTTTTAATTATGAAGCATCTCAAATTAATTAAGAAACATTCCTAAACATTTAAACATAATTTAGGTTCATAAACAATTAAACAAGATTTAAAGAACTTTCCTAAATAATTAAACATAATTTAGAAAACTTTCATAATTCCCTCCCAATCAAATCAACCAACTTTCCCTAAATAAACATTCCTAATTCCCTCCTAATTTTGATCTTCTATGGTAAGTAATTAAAGGTGGAATCTTTTCCCTTTGAGCCCCTCTCTCTTCTTGGCTACCGCCCACCCTACTGGGGCCCACCGGTTTAGCCACCAGTACATCACAAAGTTGAATAATATGCCTTCCATATTAACCATTAGTAGCAAATAGGATTTCATTTCCAATAACTTTAAGATCAAGCTTAATATGATAGACGGCGCAATATGTAGACTGTTGATTGTGAAAAATGAATGAGAAGATGAAACTATAGAATAATCTAAGGCAATAATTATTGATTCATGATATAAATCTAAATTAAATAAATTAAAAAAAAAGGATGTCTAACGTTCAAGCATTCATCTCACTTTGTTATATGGCTTTATATGGCATAATTTTTTCTAGCAATTAATTCCTTAAAGATTCAGACAGAGAATCTTTCAGGATTCAAACAAATCATTTTTCTTATCACGTAATTTGAACTTTACATGTTTCTAATTTGTATCATAAAAAAAAAATTTAATTATCATGGTTCACAATAAGTTTACTACAATGCGTCCATGCAAATCATTCATTGCAATATTGGATGA